GCCCAGTCACGCTAGCCAATACTGTAAATACAGAATTACAGAAAATATCTACCTGGATGAGGACTAACAAACTTACACTAAACATTGACAAAACCTACTTCATTCAGTTTGGTAACAGAGCTACAGATGTCCCTCTTAACATAATGATAAACGGATCACCTATCACAAAGCTTAACAGAGGGAAAATTCTTAGGAATCCACCTTGATAATAGACTCAAATTTCATACACATATACAACAAATTTCTAAGAAAATTTCCAAGACTGTAGGCATACTATCGAAGATACGGTACTATGTTCCACAGTCAGCCCTCCTGGCCCTATATCACTCTCTTATTTACCCTATCTCACCTATGGAATTTGTGCATGGGGCTCAACAACAAGTAACCATCTCAGACCACTAATTACCCAACAAAAGGCTGCAGTTAGAATGAAACAAATTCTCACTATAGGCAGCACACTCCACCAATATTCAATACACTAAACCTATTCACCATACAAAACATTCATACTTATTACTGCACCTATTACATACATAGAACACTTAACTCTGATATTAACCCTCCCCTCAAACATCTCCTTGCCAACCTCAACAGAACACATGACCATAAAAACAAGGCACAGATCACTCTTTGATGTTCCTCGTGTCCATCTCACACTATGCAAAAACTCAATGCACATAAAAGGCCCTAAAATCTGGAACTCATTACCTGTAAATATAAAGAAACACTACCTGTTTATAAATTCAAGTCTCTTCTCAAAGATCACTTACTCACCCAAACCAAATAAATACTGAATAACTGAACCTTATAAATTGTATATCTTAAATGTTTCTCACAATTATATCACATAAATGTTAAACCTAAAACCCAATCTAACTTTATTATTTTTTAAATACACTACCTAACAGAATACTCCATTCTACTGAATGTACAACAATGCATACAACCATATGACCTGTCTTTGTAATACTCACTTGTGTTTTATAGTAATCTGTTTACATTAAAGTTTTATCACCGATGTCATCATTGCTTAGTTCATCTTAAGTTAATTTTAAGCCAGCCCGTAATGCTATGCATAGTATAAGTGGCTTTGGCATACTGCTCTTTTCTGTATTTTTTGTACCTCTGTATGTGTGCACAAATTTTTAAATAAATAAATAAATAAATAAATAAGATATGGGATGCTGGAAAAGGTCGGGTGACCTTGGAGTGGGTCCCTAGCCATGTCGGGATACCTGGCCATGTCGGGATCCCTGGCCATGTCGCGATCTCTGGCCATGTCGGGGTCCCTGGGAATGAAAACGTAGAATGAATCCTACTGAACTGTCTGCAGCAAGGTCTGGTAATTGATGCTCACAGGTGGTTTTAAAATCGCCGTTTACCTGGAGAGAGTTCCGGGGGTCAACCCCCCCATGGCCCGGTCTGTGACCAGGCCTCATGTCAACCAGGCTGTTCCTGTTGGCCGCATGCAACCCGACGTGCAAACCACAGCTTGGCTGGTCAGGTACTCATTTTAGGTGCCTGTCCAGTGCCTTCTTGAAGACAACCAGGAGTCTTGAAGACATCCAGGGGTCTTGAAGACAGCCAGGGTTCTTGAAGACAGCCAGAGGTCTTGAAGACAGCCAGGGTTCTTGAAGACAGCCAGGGATCTTGAAGACAACCAGGGGTCTTGAAGACAGCCAGGGGTCTGGAACACAGCCAGAGGTCTTGAAGACAGCCAGGGGTCTTGAAGACAGCCAGGGGTCTGGAAGACAGCCAGAGGTCTTGAAGACAACCAGGGGTCTTGAAGACAGCCAGGGGTCTTGAATACAACCAGGGGTCTTGAAGACAACCAGGGTTTTGGGAAGACAGCAGGGGTCTGGAACACAGCCAGAGGTCTTGAAGACAGCCAAAGGTCTTGAAGACAGCCAGGGGTCTGGAACACAGCCAGAGGTCTTGAAGACAGCCAAAGGTCTTGAAGACAGCCAGAGGTCTTGAAGACAGCCAGAGGTCTTGAAGACAGCCAGGGGTCTTGAAGACAGCCAGGGGTCTTGAAGACAACCAGGGATCTTGAAGACAACCAGGGGTCTTGAAGACAACCAGGGGTCTTGAAGACAACCAGGGGTCTTGAAGACAGACAGGGGTCTTGAAGACAGCCAGGGGTCTTGAAGACAGCCAAAGGTCTTGAAGACAACCAGGGATCTTGAAGACAGACAGGGGTCTATTGGTAATCCCCCTTATGTATGCTGGGAGGCAGTGTGTTCGAACAGTCTTGGGCCCCTGACACTTATTGTGTTGTCTCTTATCGTGCTAGTGGCACCCCTGCCCTCAGCCTAATTTTGATTTGATTATAGCCTGGGAATGAATGAGGACTGGTCACAGACCGGGCTGAGGGGGCGCTGACCCCCAGAACTCTCTCCAGGTATACCTGAGCTGCCGATTCAGAGGAATCGGGAATGTAAATCCGAGTGCAATAATTAAGGGAAGTTCCTTGATGCCGATGAGAGGCTCTTGATGCGAGAAATTGGACTTATCCACACCTCCTTGGAATGGAAGTTGATTGTTTTACATTCCTCTAGGTGTTGTATGACCCTGACGGGTTTAACGTAACACCCTCAACTAATCTGTTAACTTATTTATCTTCAAGAATTAAAAATTATTTTATTAATTTTTATTATTATTATAGTTATTATTCTTATTTATTATTGTAATTATTATTATTAATACTGTGAAATAGGGTTCAATACGGTACAAGTTGTGGTGAGCCTATAAACCAACAACAATACAGTACAGGTTATGGTGGCCCTATAAACCAACAACAATACAGTACAGGTTATGGTGGCCCTATAAACCAACAACAATACAGTACAGGTTATGGTGGCCTATTAAACCAACAACAATACAGTACAGGTTATGGTGGCCCTATAAACCAACAATAATACAGTACAGGTTATGGTGGCCCTATAAACTAACAACAATACAGTACAGGTTATGGTGACCCTATAAACCAACAACAATACAGTACAGGTTATGGTGGCCCTATAAACCAACAACAATACAGTACAGGTTATGGTGGCCCTATAAACCAACAATAATACAGTACAGGTTATGGTGGCCCTATAAACTAACAACAATATGGTACAGGTTATGGTGGCCCTATAAACCAACAACAATACAGTACAGGTTATGGTGGCCCTATAAACCAACAATAATACAGTACAGGTTATGGTGGCCCTATAAACCAACAATAATACAGTACAGGTTATGGTGGCCCTATAAACTAACAACAATACAGTACAGGTTATGGTGACCCTATAAACCAACAACAATACAGTACAGGTTATGGTGGCCCTATAAACAACAATAATACAGTACAGGTTATGGTGGCCCTATAAACTAACAACAATACGTACAGGTATGGTGGCCCTATAAACCAACAATAATACGGTACAGGTTATGGTGGCCCTATAAACCAACAATAATACAGTACAGGTTATGGTGGCCCTATAAACCAACAACAATACAGTACAGGTTATGGTGGCCCTATAAACCAACAATAATACAGTACAGGTTATGGTGGCCCTATAAACTAACAACAATATGGTACAGGTTATGGTGGCCCTATAAACCAACAACAATACAGTACAGGTTATGGTGGCCCTATAAACCAACAATAATACAGTACAGGTTATGGTGGCCCTATAAACCAACAATAATACAGTACAGGTTATGGTGGCCCTATAAACTAACAACAATACAGTACAGGTTATGGTGACCCTATAAACCAACAACAATACAGTACAGGTTATGGTGGCCCTATAAACCAACAATAATACAGTACAGGTTATGGTGGCCCTATAAACTAACAACAATACAGTACAGGTTATGGTGGCCCTATAAACCAACAATAATACGGTACAGGTTATGGTGGCCCTATAAACCAACAATAATACAGTACAGGTTATGGTGGCCCTATAAACCAACAACAATACAGTACAGGTTATGGTGGCCCTATAAACCAACAATACAGTACAGGTTATGGTGGCCCTATAAACCAACAATAATACAGTACAGGTTATGGTGGCCCTATAAACTAACAACAATATGGTACAGGTTATGGTGGCCCTATAAACCAACAACAATACAGTACAGGTTATGGTGGCCCTATAAACCAACAATAATACAGTACAGGTTATGGTGGCCCTATAAACCAACAATAATACAGTACAGGTTATGGTGGCCCTATAAACTAACAACAATACAGTACAGGTTATGGTGACCCTATAAACCAACAACAATACAGTACAGGTTATGGTGGCCCTATAAACCAACAATAATACAGTACAGGTTATGGTGGCCCTATATAAACTAACAACAATACAGTACAGGTTTGGTGCACCTATAAACCAACAATAATACGGTACAGGTTATGGTGGCCCTATAACCAACAATAATACAGTACAGGTTATGGTGGCCCTATAAACCAACAATAATACAGTACAGGTTATGGTGGCCCTATAAACCAACAACAATACAGTACAGGTTATGGTGGCCCTATAAACCAACATAATACGTACAGGTTATGGTGGCCTTAACCTACAATACTAAGGTATGGTGCCTTAACCAACAACAATACAGTACAGGTTATGTGGCCCTATAAACCAACAACAATACAGTACAGGTTATGGTGGCCCTATAAACCAACAACAATACAGTACAGGTTATGGTGGCCCTATAAACCAACAATAATACAGTACAGGTTATGGTGGCCCTATAAACCAACAACAATACAGTACAGGTTATGGTGGCCTCTATAAACCAATTCAACAATACAGTACAGGTTATGGTGGCCCTATAAACCAACAACAATACAGTACAGGTTATGGTGGCCCTATAAACCAACAACAATACAGTACAGGTTATGGTGGCCCTATAAACCAACAACAATACAGTACAGGTTATGGTGGCCCTATAAAACCAACAACTAATACAGTATCAGTTAACTTGGATGAGCCCTATAAACCAACAACAATACAGTACAGGTTATGGTGGCCCTATAAACCAACAACAACAACACATTCCACATAACGTTACAATGTTTTCCAAACATAATGAAAGTTGTGTCAGCTTCACCTCCACCTGGAAGACTGAACAGTGAGTTTATATCTGACAGTTTATATCTGACAGTTTATATCTGACAGTTTATATCTGACAGTTTATATCTGACAGTTTATATCTGACAGTTTATATGACAGTTTATATCTGACAGTTTATATCTGACAGTTTATATGACAGTTTATATCTGACAGTTTATATCTGACAGATTATAGTCGACAGTTTATATCTGACAGTTCATATCTGACAGTTTATATCTGACAGATTATAGTCGACAGTTTATATCTGACAGTTTATATCTGACAGTTTATATCTGACACTTTATATCTGACACTTTATATCTGACAGTTTATATCTGACAGTTTATATCTGACAGTTTATATCTGACAGTTTATATCTGACAGTTTATATCTGACAGTTTATATCTGACAGTTTATATGACAGTTTATATCTGACAGTTTATATCTGACAGTTTATATGACAGTTTATATCTGACAGTTTATATCTGACAGTTTATATCTGACAGATTATAGTCGACAGTTTATATCTGACAGTTCATATCTGACAGTTTATATCTGACAGATTATAGTCGACAGTTTATATCTGACAGTTTATATCTGACAGTTTATATCTGACAGTTTATATCTGACAGATTATAGTCGACAGTTTATATCTGACAGTTTATATCTGACAGTTTATATCTGACAGTTTATATCTGACAGTTTATATCTGACAGATTATAGTCGACAGTTTATATCTGACAGTTTATATCTGACAGTTTATATCTGACAGTTTATATCTGACAGATTATAGTCGACAGTTTATATCTGACAGTTTATATCTGACAGTTTATATCTGACACTTTATATCTGACAGTTTATATCTGACAGTTTATATCTGACAGATTATATCTGACAGTTTATAGCTGACAGTTTATATCTGACAGTTTATATCTGACACTTTATATCTGACAGTTTATATCTGACACTTTATATCTGACAGTTTATATCTGACAGTTTATATCTGACAGTTTATATCTGACAGATTATATCTGACAGTTTATATCTGACAGTTTATATCTGACAGTTTATATCTGACAGTTTATATCTGACAGATTATATCTGACAGTTTATATCTGACAGTTTATATCTGACAGTTTATATCTGACAGTTTATATCTGACAGTTTATATCTGACAGTTTATATCTGACAGTTTGTATCTGACAGATTATAGTCGACAGTTTATATCTGACAGTTTATATCTGACAGTTTATATCTGACAGATTATAGTCGACAGTTTAATCTGACAGTTTTATATCTGACAGTTTATATCTGACAGTTTATATCTGACAGATTATATCTGACAGTTTATATCTGACAGTTTATATCTGACAGATTATAGTCGACAGTTTATATCTGACAGTTTATATCTGACAGTTTATATCTGACAGTTTATATCTGACAGTTTATATCTGACAGTTTATATCTGACAGATTATAGTCGACAGTTTATATCTGACAGTTTATATCTGACAGTTTATATCTGACAGTTTATATCTGACAGTTTATAGCTGACAGTTTATATCTGACAGTTTATATCTGACAGTTTATAGCTGACAGTTTATATCTGACAGATTATAGTCGACAGTTTATATCTGACAGTTTATAGCTGACATTATATTGAAGTTTATAATCTGACAGTTTATATCTGACAGTTTATATCTGACAGTTTATAGCTGACAGTTTATATCTGACAGTTTATATCTGACAGTTTATATCTGACAGTTTATATCTGACAGTTTATATCTGACAGTTTATATCTGACAGTTTATATCTGACAGTTTATATCTGACAGTTTATAGCTGACTGTTTATAGCTGACAGTTTATAGCTGACAGTTTATATCTGACAGTTTATATCTGACAGTTTATATCTGAGTTTATATCTGACAGTTTATATCTGACAGTTTATATTCTGACAGTTTATAGCTGACAGTTTATATCTGACAGTTTATATCTGACAGTTTATATCTGAGTTTATATCTGACAGTTTATATCTGACAGTTTATATCTGACAGTTTATATCTGAGTTTATATCTGACAGTTTATATCTGACAGTTTATATCTGACAGTTTATATCTGACAGTTTATATCTGACAGTTTATATCTGACAGTTTATATCTGACACTTTATATCTGACAGTTTATATCTGACAGTTTATATCTGACAGTTTATATCTGACAGTTTATATGACAGTTTATATCTGACAGTTTATATCTGACAGTTTATATCTGACAGTTTATATCTGACAGTTTAAATCTGACAGTTTATATCTGACAATCATTAAGAACTCTAAGTCTTATTGTATTTTTCTGAATAAAACTAAGCTTCACACACGGAGGGTCCGGGTTCGATTCCTGGCAGGGTGGAAACATTTCGACGTGTTTCCTTACACCTGTTGTCCTGTTCACCCTCCAGGGTTAAAAATCCAAATGAAATCTTATCTACACATACTCGTACTTTCACCATCACTATCTTGTCAGGCTTCAACGATGCTGGATTAATGACGGTCGACCTCTACTACTAATGCTAATACAGTGGACCCCCGCTTAACGATCACCTCCAAATGCGACCAATTATGTAAGTGTATTTATGTAAGTGCGTTTGTACGTGTATGTTTGGGGGTCTGAAATGGACTAATCTACTTCACAATATTCCTTATGGGAAAAAATTCGGTCAGTACTGGCACCTGAACATACTACTGGAATGAAAAAAGTTCGTTAACCGGGGGTCCACTGTACTGCTACTACTATTTCTACTACTGCCACTCTGCATTGTATGACCCTTGTAGGTTTAGCGCTTCACTTATTATAATGATAATCTACAACTGCCACTACTTCTACAATTATAATTATTGATACTGTCATAAATTCTTTTTTTGCAGGTCATTAGAAGCGGGGAGCACACAAACAGATGATATTGTCCAGCAAGAAAGAGAATGTCAGGTTGTGGAGCAAGCCGAGGTATCCCCATTAATAATAATAATAATATCTTTATTTCCTACAAGTACATGTACATGGTATACAGTCCTAGCTGACAACAGTGACATACTACTATATAGAAAGCCCCTTGTTATGCTCCGCATGTCAGGCAAATTAGGTCAGTGTCCCAGGATGCGACCCACACCAGTCGACTAACACCCAGGTACCCATTTTACTGATGGGGAAAATAGACAACTGGTGGAATGAAACACGTCCAATGTTTCTACTCTGGCTGGGAATCGAACCCGGACCCTCACTGTGTGAAGCGAGAGCGTTAACCACCAGGCCACCAGAGCCCCCATTAACTTACCCTTATGTAGAGTTTTCCCCTTCGTAATTAATCAGGTCTAAATTTGATAAATTAGACACATGTACAACTCTTGGGTATCTTTAATGAGGAAACGTTTCGTCACACAGTGGCTTCATCAGTCCATACAAAGGAGAATGGTGAAGAACAGGAGGAGAACGAGGTAATCAGTCCCTCAACCTTGAGTCGATGTGGTCAGTCCATCAATCTTGAAAAGAATACAGCATATCTGTGGAGAAGTAGCTTATATACTGTAGGCAGGAGAGGTGCAGCAGTTGTAGGTGGTGTCACATTTGACCAATGTGGAAGTTGCACATGTGTCTAATTTATCAACATGTCAGTTCTGTACGAATGGTATATAATACCGACAAGATGAGAGTAAGACACATGTGCAACATCTGGGTATCTTTATTGTAGACGTTTCGCCATCCAGTGGCTTTATCAATACAAATTCAAGTTATGTCCTAGAATTTGTATTGATAAAGCCACTGGATGGCGAAACGTCTACAATAAAGATACCCAGATGTTGCACATGTGTCTTACTCTCATGTCAGTTCTCGGAACCATTCATCTACAATCAGGTCTAAATTTCTTTAAGGATTAAGGAGTTTATTTCCTTGCATAGATTATAATGTGTAATTACAATATAAATCCCCTCAAGGAAGACTACTTGATGTTGGTGAGGGGCTCTTGATTTAGGGAATTGGATCTGTGCTCCAGTTCCCTGAATTAAGCCTGAATGCCTTCCACATCCCCCCCCCCAGGTACTGTATAATCCCCCGGGTTTAGCGCTTCCCCCTTGATTATAATAATAATAATAATACAATATTAATTTGCTTAGTGCAAAGAAAGTTACTATCATGCCGAGGTGGCCCGGTGGCCCGGTGGCCCGGTGGCCTGGTGGCTAAAGCTCCCGCTTCACACACGGAGGGCCCGGGTTCGATTCCCGGCGGGTGGAAACATTTCGACACGTTTCCTTACACCTGTTGTCCTGTTCACCTAGCAGCAAATAGGTACCTGGGTGTTAGTCGACTGGTGTGGGTCGCATCCTGGGGGACAAGATTAAGGACCCCAATGGAAATAAGTTAGACAGTCCTCGATGACGCACTGACTTTCATGGGTTATCCTGGGTGGCTAACCCTCCGGGGTTAAAAATCCGAACGAAATCTTATCTTATCTTATCTTCGGGCAGACCAAACCTAATGCTTTACTTAATACCTGGAACTTTAATTCTGTATTGATTGTTCCTCTTAAAGATCTACTGTTTGCTTATCATTCATGTACATATTAAAACAACAAACAACTTTATTTTTTTGTGTAGTATACAAACTGTAGTTTACATGTAATAAAGAGGTACAATACCATGACTGAAGCAATTCACAAATAGCCCCTATACAGTGGTACCCTGAGTTTCGGCCATAATTCGTTCCAGAAAGCTGTTCGAGTGCTGTTATCGAACAAATTTGTTCCCATAAGGAATAATGTAAATTAAGTTAGTCTTTTTCAGACCCCAGAAAATATACTTACAAAAACACTTACAATAATACACTTACATAATTGTTCAAGTTGGGAGCAGTATGAAACTCGAGGTACTACTGTATATATCAGCAGTTGATTAGTTATTGCCCTATTAATCTTAAGTTAGCCTTAAGTTTGCCCAAAATGCTCTACATACTAAGGGGCTTTTTGCATGTGGACTTAAAATATAACTTGTCTCTTTACAAACATTGTTTTTTTTTTTTTCTTTTTTTCAACAAGTCGGCCGTCTCCCACCGAGGCAGGGTGACCCACCGAGGCAGGGTGACCCACCGAGGCAGGGTGACCCACCGAGGCAGGGTGACCCACCGAGGCAGGGTGACCCACCGAGGCAGGGTGACCCACCGAGGCAGGGTGACCCACCGAGGCAGGGTGACCCACCGAGGCAGGGTGACCCACCGAGGCAGGGTGACCCACCGAGGCAGGGTGACCCAAAAAAGAAATAAAATCCCCAAAAAGAAAATACCTTCATCATCATTCAACACTTTCACCACACTCGCACATTATCACTGTTTTTGCAGAGGTGCTCCGAATACAACAGTTTAGAAGCATACACATATAAAGATACACAACATATCCCTCCAAACTGCCAATATCCATCATATCATACAAACATTGTACCGTGCTGAAATAAAAAATCTAACTCAGGCCACTAGCGTGTGGTGCATTTCGGGCCACAAGAGAAGGAAAGTTTTACACTCAAGAAGTTGTTGTCATAAACACATACAGTGGACCTCCGGTTAACGATATTTTTTCACTCCAGAAGTATGTTCAGGTGCCAGTACTGACCGAATTTGTTCCCATAAGGAATATTGTGAAGTAGATTAGTCCATTTCAGACCCCCAAACATACATGTACAAACGCACTTACATAAATACACTTACATAATTGGTCGCATTCGGAGGTAATCGTTATGCGGGGGTCCACTGTATATGTAAAACATTTCTCTTCCTGTTCATGATGAACAAGAACAAAAAATGTCTGTCAAATTGTGTTAATTTTGTATTATTTCAAATAATAAATGTACGATATGATGGGATGTTTTAATTGTGATTTATAGGTTGGGACCCAAACAGAGGAAGAAGAAGCCCGAAATTTGGATCACCGAGAATATGATGAAGTGTCCCTAGCGGCGTTCTTGAAGAGTATGGCTCCGAAAGGTAAGTTTCTCTTAAAATGTATGTGAAATATGTGTTTAATACAGTGGAACCTCAAAAATCGAACTTCTCCCAACTCAACCAATTATGTAAGTGTATTTTTGTAAGTGCTTTTATAAGTGTATTTTTGAGGGTCTTAAATGGACTAATCTAATTTACATTATTCCTGATGGGAATAAATTCGTTCGGTAGTGGCACTCGAACAGCCTTCTGGACCGAAGAAAGTTCGATATTTGAGGTTCCACTGTATATATACTGTAGTTACCCACTGGATCTTTTTTTACAGTACTTAAAGTTGCCGCAGTGTAGCAATTCTTATTGTGTCTTGTCTTGTTAAATTTTTCGTATGCATGTGTATTTAAAATTGTGTAAGCACAATAGGTCATAGTGAGTGGAAGTATGTGGTTTTTATGACTTCAGGTGCTGTTGGAGTATGAGCAAGGTAATGTTTATGAAGGAATTCAAGGGAAAGTACTGTACCTGTACTCTGAAGGATGAGTGAGGATGTTGCAGTTCTGTAGGTCGTAGGACAGGAATATCAGCTCACCTCTGGCAATCCAATGATTTAATGAGTGTTGTGATAGTATTGCCTTCTTTGGGCCATGCTGCCTTTTAAATTTGTGTGTGAGTATGTCTCCTCATTTTCCTTATCTATGAATGGTGGCATTTCTAAAATTTTTGGTCATTCTTTACATATCGTATTTTAAAATTTCCAGGGCTTTATTTTGCTAAATGTTTGAAAACATCTTTTGTCTCTCTTGTTTCTTAAACCCTCTGTTTTGTTTTTCTTGTGTGAGTAATATATAGGAACGCCCTACATATACAGCATCTCCTTTTCGGTGTTCCATATTTTATGTTGGCTTCAAATTGAGCCATTATGTATTCATTATGTACCACCCACTGGCGATTGTCATTGGTGGGTGGAACAATAGCTCCATTGAAAGCTGGTGAAAACATCTTACACCGAAAATAAGTGCTATATATGTGGGTCCCTCCTGTACTTGATATGGGTGTGTAAGTATAGTAAGCATGTGTGAGTATACTGTATGAGTGTGCATGTACTGTGAGCGTATGTGAGTATACATACAAGGAGAGTGATAATTCAGTCACAAAAATATTTAGTCTAATTTATTTTCAGTTATTCGAGAACTAGAGAGACAAAATAGAAGTCGTGCCTTCCATGGCTACTCTGTTGCAAAGGAAGAAGAATCTATAGGGGTTAAGCTGTTACATACACTACGCTGGAATCTGTTGCATCCTGAGGTGAGCATAAACTTATTCAATATAGAATAAATTTGATCGCACTAATACATAGTTATTAGGCCTAATGATTGGTAGATACTTCTTACAACTGGGATTACAAGTAATCAGCGAAGTCTACACACAACAGAGTGAACAAGGGGACCATAGCACTTTAACCCTTATACAGTCCAAACGTATATATGTTCGCTCGCGAACATATATCTACGTTTTGTTTTACATGCTTTCTTATGGAGAAAATCAAGGTCGGAGCGCTACGTACGCAAATGTAGATCTACGTTTGGACAGTTTAAGGGTTAAGGGCCGAAGCGTTATCATACGTTTTATTGTCCTATGTGCAGGTTATTTGTGTATTGTTCCAGTCACAGTATTGTGCCTAATTATTCTTTATTTTAAGAGGTATACTATACAGGCAGAGGTGTCCTTCACTTTATACAGTAGGAATATTCCTGACCTATGGACTTTCAACTTACATTCAAGTGTTACCCATTGTTTATACAATGTATCATGTGGAAATATATGTACATGTACTTTGAATTTGAATTTGAAGAGTATCCCTATTTTGTTCATTTTACACCAAGTTCACTGTAACCAAACAGGGATATTTTTCAAATTCAAATTCAGTTCAAATTCAAGATATATTTCCCACATGACATGTTGTTTATACAGAAATGGGCGACACTTGACTGCATGGAGAAAGCTCATGGTTATGCAGAACATTTCAGCTAAACTTACGCCTTGCAGAGACTTTACAAGTTCCAAGTTTCTTGAAAAATGTTTACCAAAAAAATGACCTTGTCACACATTCACTGAAATGAATTTACTCCGAAAAACTAAGAAAAAATAAAATGATCGATTAATTCATAATCCTTATGCAATTTATGCAGTTTGAATAGAAGGAAAAATTCACATTTCTTAATGTTTTAGTTATTAAATAATGAACATGTCACATGGGCATTATTTAACCTTGAATTTTTACTTTTGTTCGGATAAAGAAAAAAATTCTGAAAATTTAGAAATAATTTCAAATTCAAATTTTTTTTTCTAAACTAAGGATAGTCTAAATAGTAGTAATAAGAATGATATTAGTGTATAAGATTGTTCTTGCAGGGAGTAGTGACATGTATCAGCTGGAGTTGTACTGGCTCGGTTATTGGAGTGTCGTACGGGTCGAAGGACCATGATGACTGGTGCGATCACAAGGGTTCCGTGGCCGTCTGGAATATAAATAGGTAATATACATACAGTGGACCCCCGGCTTACGATATTATTTCATTCCAGACGTATGTTCAGGTGCCATTACTGAACGAATTTGTTCCCATAAGGAATATTGTGAAGTATATTAGTCCATTTCAGACCCCCAAACATACACGTACAAATGCACTTACATAAATACACTTACATAATTGGTCGCATTGGGAGCTGATCGTAAAGCAGGGGTCCACTGTAGTTGTTCTTTATTTCCGTTAAATGATCAATACTGATGGACCACCAGCTGGTGAAGGCCCCTGGGCTGAAACCCCTGGAGGACCTCCAGCTGGTGGAGGCCTCTGGGCTGCAACCCCTGGAGGACCTCCAGCTGGTGGAGGCCCCTGGGCTAAAACCCCTGGAGGACCTCCAGCTGGTGGAGGCCCCTGGGCTGCAACCCCTGGAGGACCTCCAGCTGGTGGAGGCCCCTGGGCTGCAACCCCTGGAGGACCTCCAGCTGGTGGAGGCCCCTGGGCTGCAACCCCTGGAGGACCTCCAGCTGGTGGAGGACCCTGGGCTGCAACCTGTGGAGGACCTCCAGCTGGTGGAGGACCCTGGGCTGCAACCCATGGAGGACCTCCAGCTGGTGGAGGCCCCTGGGCTGCAACCCCTGGAGGACCTCCAGCTGGTGGAGGCCCCTGGGCTGCAACCCGTGGAGGACCTCCAGCTGGTGGAGGCCCCTGGGCTACAGAGCCTAAACCCCATGCCTTAATCCAGCCCTGACAAGAAATCAAGTGTACAATGTAATAAGTGGGGTAATGTAACTAAAAAAGGAAAAGGGAGGTGTAGTAATAAACGAGGCTGGAGGAAGTAGTTTCGAAAGTAGGTCACATAAATATAAGAGTTGGTAAAGAATTTGCCTGGAGAGGCCCTGAAAAAATATTACATAGATTAAATTATTAATGATTATGCTAAATTTAGTAACAGAAATATAACTGCACCTTTGAAATTACTACACAAATAATTTCATAATATAATAATAGTCAGATTTTTTGGACTAATTGTTTCTGAATGCTAACAGGAATGACTTTGATGCTAACCAGCCAGAGAGAGTAATTGAAACATCATCTTGTGTCTTATCCTTGGCGTTCCACCCCAATAATCCAGCTGTGTTTGCTGTTGGAACATTCAACGGTGCGTATGTTTCAACTACCACCTAACCTTACTACTAATTTATTTATTTATTTATTTATTTATTTATTTATTTAAAAATTTGAGCACACATAATAATAATATAATACAGTTAATTTATTTCATTTCTGCATTATACAGGCAATGTAGTTTATATGTATTAACAGAGTGTTAGGCACAAAAGAAAGCCACTAGCATTCGGTGCATTTCGGTACATACGGTACTAAGTATAAAAGCAAAGAGGAAATTTAAAGCTAAATACTTAAAAAGCCCCTATTTAGTGGAGTTGGATTCTCATTATAAATACAAAAAAATACAATTCTTTATTTGCAAAATTACAGTACATAATTAAAAATAAGATGATTTTAGATAATTACAAATGATAATTTTTTTATTGAGACTGACAGGCTTGTTGGACCTCCATGAGACTTGTGTGAGCATGTTAGGAGTGAGTGAAGACAAGTGGCTTTTATGATGATGTGCTGTTGGATTGTGAGCATTTATGAAGGGATTCAGGGAAAATGGTTGGCTGGACTTGAGTCCTGGAGGTGCAAAGTACAGTGCCTGCACTCTGAAGGATGAGTGGAGATGTTGCAGTTCTGAAGGTGGGAAGTACTGTACCTGTACTCTGAAGGATGAGTGAGAATGTTACAGTCCTGGAGGTGGGAAGTACAGTACCTGTACTCTGAAGGATGAGTGAGGATGTTACAGTTCTGGAGGTGGGAAGTACAGTACCTGCACTCTGAAGGATGAGTGGAGATGTTGCAGTTCTGGAGGTGGGAAGTACTGTACCTATACTCTGAAGGATGAGTGAGGATGTTACAGTTCTGGAGGTGGGAAGTACAGTACCTGTACTCTGAAGGATGAGTGAGGATGTTACAGTTCTGAAGGTGGGAAGTACAGTACCTGTACTTTGAAGGATGAGTGAAGATGTTACAGTTCTGAAGGTGGGAAGTACAGTACCTGTACTCTGAAGGATGAGTGAAGATGTTACTGTTCTGGAGGTGGGAAGTACAGTACCTGTACTTTGAAGGATGAGTGAAGATGTTACAGTTCTGGAGGTGGGAAGTACAGTACCTGTACTTTGAAGGATGAGTGGAGATGTTAGAGTTCTGGAGGTGGGAAGTACAGTACCTGCACTCTGAATGATGAGTGAGGATGTTACATTTCTCCCATTGAGGCAAGTCACCCTGCTTCAGTGGGAGACAGCTAGTGCAATAAAAAAATATTTGTAGGCTAGAAGTTTTCCAGCGCTTTTTTCTGTTCTGCAATGTATAAAACAAAATATGACAATCATGTTATTTAAATATTATCATAGGATATTGCATGGATGCTTGACAAAGCTCCTGGAGAGCGAAACGTTGCCACATTAAAAATGTCACATTAGTTGCACTTGTGTCCTTTTACTTTACATACAGATGCTGTCCACTTGAATGTTAGTTTTCTTTTGTTGCAGGAGAAGTGTTGGTGTATAACCTGTCACACACAGAGGAGGTGACTCCTCTAGACGTGGGAGAGTGTGGGGGCGGCAGTGTGACAACACTCACTTGGGTCAATAACCTTGCTGGTGAAGTGGCAGCATCTCGAACATTGAGTACGTTAGTTGCTACTACAAGTGGTGGGTTTATCCTGGTGTGGGGGCTGAACCTCACAAAGCAGCAGTTAGCATTGAAATCAGGGTAAGTTTTTTATGCAAATAAACTTTACAGACTAAGAACTATTATCCTACCTCAGTTCATTTCAAAGCCCCAGACCTATCTGAGGTATACTACTATCACCTGAGATGCGACCCACAACAGTGACTGACACCCAGGTACCTACTTAATTCTAGGTGAACAGGGACAGCAGGTGTAAGGTGACTTAACACCCAGGTATCTACTTACTGCTAGATGAACACTGACAGCAGGTGTAAGGTGACTTACACCCAGGTACCTACTTATTGCTAGGTGAACACTGACAGTAGGTGTAAGAAAACATGCCCAACATTTCCACCCATGCGGGGGTTTGAACCCCAGACACTCAGTGTGCGAGTTGAGCGCACTGCCAACTAATTTCCTTGTCAGAATGTGTACAATATAGAAGTTTTTCAAGTAAACAAGAATCATTATTTACAGAACATGTGAAATCTGCCAAGTTGTGATGCCTTTGTGGGCCTGTAGGCTACTGGCAGCGAAAGTCTGGTAGAACAGATAGTGAGCAGTCTAGCCTGAGGCCGGACTTGGAGAGAACAGTACACAGATAACCCAAAATATCCTCATAAGTTTCTCTCGCCTATGTGTGCGTTATTTGTGTATTGTTCCAGTCATGATATTGTTCCTTTTTATTCTTTTGGAGAGAACTCTTGAAACTAGTCACAGGTGATTTATAATCTGGCACGTCACAAGCGGTGTTCCTCAGGGGTCAATGTTGGGCCCGTTGTTGTTCACAATTTACATAAACGACATAGATGAGGAATAAATAGCAACGTAAGCAAATTTGCTGATGACACCAAAATAGGCCGTCCAATTCATTCTAATGAGGACACTAGAGCACTCCAGGATGATTTGAATAGACTGATGCAATGGTCAGAGAAGTGGCAGATGCAGTTTAATATTGACAAATGCAAAGTTCTGAATGTTGGACAGTTAAATAACCATGCCACATATAAACTAAATAATGTAGATCTTAATACTACTGATTGCGAAAAGGATTTAGGAGTTCTGGTTAGCAGTAATCTAAAACCAAGACAACAATGCATTTTTGTTGGCAATAAAGCTAACAGAATCCTTGACTTCATATCTAGAAGTATAAATAATAGAAGTCCTCAGGTTGTTCTTCAACTCTATATATCCTTGGTTAGGCCTCATTTAGACTATGCTGCTCAGTTCTGGTCACCGTATTACAGAATGGATATAAATGCTCTGGAAAACATACAGAGGAGGATGACAAAGATGATCCCATGTATCAGAAATCTTCCCTATGAGGATAGACTAAGGGCCCTGAATCTGCACTCTCTCGAAAGGCGTAGAATTAGGGGGATATGATTGAGGTGTATAAATGAAAAACAGGAATAGATAAAGGGGATGTAAATAGCGTGCTGAAAATTTCCAGCCAAGACAGGACTCGCAGCAATGGTTTCAAGTTGGAAAAATTCAGATTCAGGAAGGATATAGGAAAGTACTGGTTTGGTAATAGAGTTGTGGATGAGTGGAACAAACTCCCCAGTACAGTTATAGAGGCTAAAACGTTGTGTAGTTTTAAAAATAGGTTAGATAAATACATGAGTGGGTGTGGATGGGTGTGAGTTGGACCTGACTAGCCTGTGCTGCTGGGTCTGGTGCCGTGCTCCTTACTTGAGTGGAGGTGACCAGACTGGGTGGGTCATTGGGCTAATCCGGGGGGAGATCATTAGTCTAATATGGGGGGGGGACATGGACCTGCTCTGCATGGGTCAGTAGGCCTGTTGCAGTGTTCCTTCTTTCTTAAATCTTGTTGCAAAACACACTAGCAACCCAACATAATTGTATTCTTATTTTGTTGTCATTTGGGCATCAAAATTTTTAAGATTTTCTAAATAAAAAGTTGTCAGTTGTGTACAGCAGTTCAAGTCGTGTGGCCATCAGTAACAGCCTGGTTAATCAGGCCCTGATCCACCATGAGGCCTGGTCACTGACCAGGCCACTGGGGCATTGACCCCTGAAACCCTCTCCAGGTATACTCCAGGTATACAGTGATGACTGTGGCAGTCAACAGTCATCACTACTCTTAGGTTCCTTGCATGAACTGAGGCGAAGCCTTCCACGCATACATTATTAAAGGTCATCTAATTTTGCAAAAACTTTCACCATCATTCACTCCATCACTGTCTTGCCAGAAGGGTGCTTTACACTACAGTTTATAAACTGCAACATTAACACCCCTCCTTCACTCTGAAGGAGGGGTGTTAATGTTGCAGTTTAAGAACTGTAGTGTAAAGCACCCTTCTGGCAAGACAGTGATGGAGTGAATGATGGTGAAAGTTTTTCTTTTTCGGGCCACCCTGCCTTGGTGGACCACCCTGCCTTGGTGGACCACCCTGCCTTGGTGGACCACCCTGCCTTGGTGGACCACCCTGCCTTGGCAGGCCACCCTGCCTTGGTGGACCACCCTGCCTTGGCAGGCCACCCTGCCTTGGTGGACCACCCTGCCTTGGCGGGCCACCCTGCCTTGGCGGGCCACCCTGCCTTGGTGGGCCACCCTGCCTTGGCGGGCCACCCTGCCTTGGTGGGAATCTGCCAGTGTGCTAATAAAATAAAATAAAAATTTATCATGTGACAGTAAATTATTTATTAAAGAACTAATGAAAGTAAATTACCTTTTAGTAGTCATTACTGTTGGTCTCGGGGGATAGAATGTGTATATTCGAACATAAGACCCATCCTAAATTATTGGCTATAGTAGTGGTCGTGGTGTTAATTCTCTGGTATACAACTGAACATCACAATAAACTCTAGTCACCAATAAAGTGATTTTTTATGGTTTCAGAACCCCAATGAAAATGCTTAGGTATCCTGAAGTTAGGAATCCCCGGTTAAAAGAATAAAGAATAAAAATTTTATTTCTTTGCAGAGGTTACAGTGTATAATTATAATTTTGATTTGTTAAGTACAAAGAAAGTCACTATTATGCCGGGGTATTTCGGGCAGACTAAAGCTAGTACAGTGGACCCCCGGTTAACGATATTTTTTCATTCCAGAAGTATGTTCAGGTGCCAGTACTGACCGAATTTGTTCCCATAAGGAATATTGTGAAGTAGATTAGTCCATTTCAGACCCCCAAACATACACGTACAAACGCACTTACATAAATACACTTACATAATTGGTCGCATTGGGAGCTGATCGTAAACCGGGGGTCCACTGTACATAATAATTACTTAAGTCTAGACATGATACGAGTGGTTAACTTTTTAATATTGAGACACTTATGCAACATATGGGAATCTTTATTCAGGAAACGTTTCGCCACACAGTGCGGCGAAACGTTTCCTGAATAAAGATTCCCATATGTTGCATAAGTGTCTCAATCTTCAACTTGTCGGTTTTTCAAACCATTCATTACAACTTTTTAATAAATCTTTATTTACATTAATACTAATGCGAGGTAGTTAAGGTAAAGTTTTATAATAATAATAAACTTGAAGTTCGTTCAACTTCTTGTCATGTGCTGATGTTTTCCGCAATTATCCTTTCAGTTATATGCTTCAAGGTCAAGATGCTCCTCGAGGAATCCGAACACACATGGATGGTTCAAGTGGTGTTGGAATTACTGCAGCTTCATTTAACGCAGAAGATTCCAATCTCTTTGTATTGGGAGCAGAAGGCGGTAGCTTGTTTCTGTGCTCAGCTACCTCTGAGGTTATAACAAATCTTTATTGATTTTCATATACAGTGCTATATTTCTTTTATTTTCACACAAGAAGATACAAATTAATTCTCTTAAATATTTCTAGAGAAGGGTTTCGGAGAAACCTGTTAGCTGGACTTGAGTCCTGGAGGTGATGTGCATATGTAGGGGCTTTCTGCATGTTCACACAAATGTCATTCACCTTTTATAAACATTGTATCATGCTTAAATAAATTTATTATTATTAAGTAAAATGGCTGCACTCTGAAGGATGGGTGGAGATATATGCAGTTTTGAACTGTAGTATCGGCCCGCCTCTGGCAAGACAGTGATGGAGTGAGTGATGGTGAAAGCGTTTCTTCTTTTTTGGGTCATCCACCTCGGTGGGAAATGGCCGATAACTTGTATAACTTTCTTGTATCATAACTCTTCTAGTGCATTCAGGTATAATATAACACTTGCAGTAACTTAATGGTATTTATATATATATATTATAATGACTTATCCATGGATTCTTTTATTTATATTTGTTTTGGAGTCAAGAAACTTGTGTAAAATGTCTGTTTATTTACAGGTTCCATCTGGAGTTGAATTCTCTGGTGTTGGGTTAATGAGATGCGTATCGTCTACCCTCGCTCCTCACTCCGGACGAGTGATTACTGGGCAGTTTTCACCTCATCACCGGAATGCCATCCTCTCCGCAGCTTCAGATAATGAAATACGACTTTTCACTATTCTTCAGGTAATTTGTGTGCATGCAAGTTTATATTTGCTAATAGGTGACCCTCGACTTACGATGGGGGTTACATTCCAGTGAATGTAAATACAGTGGACCCCCGGTTAACGATATTTTTTCATTCCAGAAGTATGTTCAGGTGCCAGTACTGACCGTATTTGTTCTCATAAGGAATATTGTGAAGTAGATTAGTCCATTTCAGACCCCCAAACATACACGTACAAACGCACTTACATAAATACGCTTACATAATTGGTCGCATTGGGAGGTGATCGTTAAGCGGGGCTCCACTGTATTTAGGTTTCTTCTTTGTGCTCTTTCTTTTCATATATACTTTATTCCTCTCGTTTTTGGTAATTTTTTGTTAAGTAAAAGGACATGTGCAACTAATGCAATATTTTATTGTGGCAACATTTCCAGCTTTGTCCAACTTTTTAAAACATTGCCACAATAAAATGTCACATGAGTTGCACAAGTTTTTTTACCTAATATATTGCCAACAACTCTACCAACGTTATTACAATTTTTTCTTGCTGGTATGGCAGTTTGGAGGGATATGTTGTGTAACTTTATACGTATATGCTTCTAAACTGTTGTATTCTGAGCACCTCTGCAAAAACAGTGATTATGTGTGATTGTGGTGAAAGTGTTGAATGATGATGAAAGTATTTTCTTTTTGGGGATTTTATTTCTTTTTTGGGTCACCCTGCCTCGGTGGGTCACCCTGCCTTGGTGGGTCACCCTGCCTCGGTGGGTCACCCTGCCTCGGTGGGAGACGGCCGACTTGTTGAAAAAAAAAAAAAATGGGATTATCATCTCTCTTTACCTCAAACCCTTGATCGTCACCATTTTTCTTTGTATAGAACTGATAAAGCCACCAAAGGCCTGGTCTCAGACCGAGCCGTGGGGGCCTTGACCCCCGAAACCCTCTCCAGGTAAACTCAAGGTAAACCAAAGTGTTACACAAGTGTCTAATTTATCAAATATTTATACTGTGTATTTATTTTACTTTTTTTTGTCTTGCAGTATGAGCAGTTAATATGTGATAATGTAAACAAATCATTAAACATTTGAGATGCATTCAGTAATGAAAAAATGCTCTTTTCCACCTATGGTGATTTTTGCTTGCAAGGAACTAGGCCTCAAGATCTCGGCCGAGAAATCTCTTGCAATGATGTTCAAGGGACCAGATCCTGTGAATAGATTACGTATTCAGGATATAGAACTTGAGTGGACAGGCTCCTACCTGTACTTGGGAATCTACATTGATAAAAAGCTGACCTTTCAGGGCTAGGAACCAAAGATCAATACAAATGGGGCCCTTCTGTATACGGTGGACCCCCGCTTAACGATCGCCTCCCAATGCGACCAATTATGTAAGTGTATTTATGTAAGAGCGTTTGTACGTGTATGTTTGGGGGTCTGAAATGGACTAATCTACTTCACAATATTCCTTATGGAAACAAATTCGGTCAGTACTGGCACCTGAACATACTTCTGGAATGAAAAAATATCGTTAACCGGGGGTCCACTGTATATATATCTTCTAAAATCAGAAGGTTGGAAAGGCAGTTGGACAGTATAATTATCTGTTCACTTTGAGAGGGGTAGATCTCAATATATATACACTTAGACTTTCCCTAAGCCCCTATATTAGAGATTAAGGTGTTCTTCACTAGTAATATACAGTGGACCTCCGGTTTACGATATTATTTCACTCCAGAAGTATGTTCAGGTGCCAGTACTGACCGAATTTGTTCCCATAAGGAATATTGTGAAGTAGATTAGTCCATTTCAGACCCCCAAACATACACGTACAAACGCACTTACATAAATACACTTACATAATTGGTCGCATTGGGAGCTGATCGTAAAGCGGGGGTCCACTGTATATTTACCCCCACAGATTAGTGGGTGATGGTATCACTGTTATGTTGTTTTCCCATTTTTACTTTGATGGTTTGGTTCTCACTACATGTTCTTGTGTACGGTAGATTAAATAAGGCCTTATAAAGTCTAGGGTAATACATTATCGATTGGTCGTCCTCAGTCTCTGAAATGTTTTCACCAACCCTCTCAGCAAGTTATTTAAACTACTATTACGAAAATAGGGATATATTCTAGACAGATATATACAGAATATACAAGCTTAGCATTCTCCTATACATAACATAAGCATGCACGCCCTTAGCCCTGTGGCCTATGGGTTAAAGCTCTCGCTTCACACGGCAAGGGTCTGGGTTTGATTCCCAGCATGGGTAGAAACATCGGGCATATTTCCTTACATTGGTTGTCCATGTTCACCATCAGTAAAATAGGTACTTGCGTATTAATGGACTGGTGTGGGTCACATCCTGGGTGTTAGTGGACTGGTGTGGGTCACATCCTGGGTGTTAGTGGACTGGTGTGGGTCACATCCTGGGTGTTAATGGACTGGTGTGGGTCACATCCTGGGTGTTAGTGGACTGGTGTGGGTCATATCCTGGGTGTTAGTGGACTGGTGTGGGTCACATCCTGGGTGTTAGTGGACTGGTATGGGTCACATCCTGGGTGTTAGTGGACTAGTGTGGGTTGCATCCTGGGGACATAACAAGGGACTTCTATATAGTAGTATGTCATTGATGTCGACTATGATCTGTATACCTTGTACATGGGGGCAATCCTGGTTGCAATCCTGGTTGCAATCCTGGTTGCATCCTGGGGACATAACAAGGGGCTTCTATATAGTAGTATGTCATTGATGTCAACTATGATCTGTATACCTTGTACATAGGGGCAAGAAGCCCCTATCACGAGCCTTTTCCATCCTATGGAGAGGGAGCATGGACACGGGGGTCGTCCCACAGTTACTAAAAACAACAGACATAGCCTCACTCCACAAAGGTGGTAGTAAATAGCAAAGAACTACACACTGATAGCACTAACATCCCATATCATAAAAATCTTTGAAAGGGTCCTAAGAAGCAAGATCACCACCCATCTAGAAACCCATCAGTTACACAACCCAGGGCAACATGGGTTTAGAACAGGTCGCTCCTGTCTGTCTCAACTATTGGATCACTACGAAAAGGTCCTAAATGCACTAGAAGACAAAAAGAATGCAGATGTAATATATACAGACTTTGCAAAAGCCTTCGACAAGTGTGACCATGGCGTAATAGCGCACAAAATGCGTGCTAAAGGAATAACAGGAAAAGTCGGTCGATGGATCTATAATTTCCTCACTAACAGAACACAGAGAGTAGTCGTCAACAGAGTAAAGTCCGAGGCAGCTACGGTGAAAAGCTCTGTTCCACAAGGCACAGTACTCGCTCCCATCTTGTTCCTCATCCTCATATCCGACATAGACAAGGATGTCAGCCACAGCACCGTGTCTTCCTTTGCAGATGACACCCGAATCTAAATGACAGTGTCTTCCATTGCAGACACTGCAAAGCTCCAGGCGGACATCAACCAAATCTTTCAGTGGGCTGCAGAAAACAATATGAAGTTCAACGATGAGAAATTTCAATTACTCAGATATGGTAAACATGAGGAAATTAAATCTTCATCAGAGTACAAAACAAATTCTGGCCACAAAATAGAGCGAAACACCAACGTCAAAGACCTGGGAGTGATCATGTCGGAGGATCTCACCTTCAAGGACCATAACATTGTATCAATCGCATCTGCTAGAAAAATGACAGGATGGATAATGAGAACCTTCAAAACTAGGGAGGCCAAGCCCATGATGACACTCTTCAGGTCACTTGTTCTATCTAGGCTGGAATATTGCTGCGCACTAACAGCACCTTTCAAGGCAGGTGAAATTGATGACCTAGAAAATGCACAGAGAACCTTCATGGCGCGCATAACGCAGATAAAACACCTCAATTACTGGGAGCGCTTGAGGTTCCTAAACCTGTATTCCCTGGAATGCAGGCGGGAGAGATACATGATTATATACACCTGGATAATCCTAGAGGGACTAGTACCGAACTTGCACACGAAAATCACTCACTACGAAAGCAAAAGACTTGGCAGACGATGCAACATCCCCCCAATGAAAAGCAGGGGTGTCACTAGCACGTTAGGAGACCATACAATAAGTGTCAGGGGCCCGAGACTGTTCAACTGCCTCCCAGCATACATAAGGGGGATTACCAACAGACTCCTGGCAGTCTTCAAGCTGGCACTGGACAAGCACCTAAAGTCGGTTCCTGACCAGCCGGGCTGTGGCTCGTACGTTTTTTTGCGTGCAGCCAGCAGCAAGAGCCTGGTTGATCAGGCTCTGATCCACCAGGAGGCCTGGTCACAGACCGGGCCGCGGGGGTGTTGACCCCCGGAACTCTCTCCAGGTAAATATTATAATTATTATCAGGGGGACTAACATGCCAGGCTAGTAACTCCTTCTGTATACATTACTAAAGTTAAAAAGAGAGACCTCGTTTTTCTTTATGGGCTGCCCTGCCTTGGTGGAATATGGCCGGTTCATTGAAAGAAGGTGATATATTGTATGTAATTTATTTCAGCCAAACAAACCAGTGAGTGTAATACATGCTGAAGAAGGGATAGCGTGTGTCCGGTGGTCACTGTCTCGTCCTCTGGTGGTGGCTGTGGGTCGTTTAACTGGTGAGGTTGCTCTCTATGACTTGGGTGTAAAGAACTGCCAGCCATTCTTGATTCTGCCAGCTGCTGCCAAACCGTCTCCAATAACAGTTTTACAATTCAACAAGAAGAAGTAAGAATTTTTAATATTATATATAGGTCAGTGAATAAGTTATGCCAGAACTGATAAGACAATATTTTAGCGGGTTTGTCTAGACTATTGAAGTTATGGTAATGTTTATTAATTTTTATATTCTTGCAGTTTTCAGAATACATTATATCATGCAAGGCATTTTCCATCAGCTGATAATACTTTTTTTAACATGCTAGCTGTGTTCTTATACACTAATGCTAGATTCTTTAGACAGTATTTTTATTTTAATGTAACAAAAGCTATCTGTGCCATATGAGCCATTTAAATCTTGAGGAATAACATACTTCTGTATAGTTATATATGTGAACATGCATGTGAGGCACATCACAGACTGTAAAGAACAAACAGCCACAATACCGTGACTGGAACAATACACAAATAACACGCACAAGGAGAGAGAAGCTTACGACAGATGTTTCAGTCAGACTTGGACCATCTACAAAGTCACACTAGCATGAAAGAGCGAGGAGAGCCAGTATATATAAGCGAAGGGGATGGACGGGACCAAGAGACCAACAAAAAAAGTTGTGGCAGTGGTAAGGCTGGTTTTGGAAAGTAGTAGTGGTAGTAGAAAGTAGGGAGAGTAGTTTTAGTGGCACAATAGATAGAAAGGGGAGTAAATTATAGACTAATTATAGGGCTAAGAGAAACTCATTTTTCCTTGTGGACTACCTTGCCTCGGTGGGATACAGCTGGTTTATTGAAAGAAGAATTAAAGCATGCTATTGTTAATCCAGACATTATTTGTATTGTCTCGACTTGCAGCAGTGGCAAAGTTGCACGCTGTACCATGAGTGGGTTGAGGTGTAAGAGTCAACCCTTTCTTGAACTCTTGGGTATTACTGAAAACCAGTTGTTGATATACGTCCAACCCATTTCTCTACTCTTTTTTTCATCAAATTGGAAGGAAATACTACAAGGGCAAAAGCTACCATACTAAGAAATTGAGAATTACATTCATGCTTGAATGCTAAACCCATAGAGGGTCATGCAGCACCTGGGATAATGAGAAGCTATAAAGTTTGATCCAAAAACAAAAGGAGATTTATTTCCTTGGATCAAGAGCCCTTTATCAGCACCAAGGCATCATCCTCGAGTGGAGGAAATTCAGAAGAAACTCTGACAAGTGTGTATACACACACAATATACTACATGCAATATGCAATATACTTGCATGTTATGTATACTAGTTGTTATTAATTACAAGATTTAGCTATATTTTAGTAATTTATTTTTACAAATAAGGTTATTTTGTGTGATTTTTTCTCTGAAATTGCTGTAAGCATCAAAGTCCAACTTATAACTTTATGTATACAATTTACTGTCATTATTAATCTGTTATAATCATAACAATAATTTTTAAAGTGGTGGACTGGTAAGCCAGTGGAAGGTCTCAGTCAGATAGCCAAAAGCTCCAGCAGGAAACACCTGTCCTGTTTCCTAACAGATCTTACCTAACCTGACCTGTCATTATTAATAAATAATGTTTTTCCAACAGCATGAAGGTCCTGGCATGTGGTGACCAACTTGGCCGAGTGTGTGTGTGGAACTTGCCCAACAACGCTGTGTCACCGCTCTCAAGCGAACTCTCCAGTCTCCACACACTCTTAGACAATATAGTTGATTAGTTGCGCTTGCAATCTTTATTCTAGTCAAAATCTGATGTTTATATGGGAGTGTAATTGTTATGAATTACAACAATGGTGCCACCATTGTAAGTACAGTTATTAACAGCTTACTGTTAACATTACTATAATCATGGAGAGTGCTAAACCCATGGGGATTATAAAGTGCCTGGAGGGGGGGGATGGAAGGTATTCAGACTCATTTCAGGGAACTGGAGCATAGATCCAGTTCCCTAGATCAAGAGCTCCACGTCAGGAAACACTTGTCCTGTTTCCTGACGAACCTTACCTAACCTACAGCTCATAGAATGGGTTGTTATTACGATTTCTTGAGTCATGGGTTGTTTGTAATTGTGTTTTCATTGGTCATTATGAGGTGATACAAACTATGGTAAAATATTTTATTTGCGAACAAGATCTGTACAATCCATTTACATACAAATACACTGGAATGAGATGTACAAAGATATTTTGTGAGAGGTTGCTGAACTTGACATATCTAAAATCACTGTCCCCACTAAATACCATATACAGTGGACCCCCACATAACGATCACCTCCAAATGCGACCAATTATGTAAGTGTATTTATGTAAGTGCATTTGTACGTGTATGTTTGGGGGTCTGAAATTGACTAATCTACTTCACAATATTCCTTATGGGAACAAATTCGGTCAGTACTGGCACCTGAACATACTACTGGAATGAAAAAAGTTCGTTAACCAGGGGTCCACTGTACTGTCTGACCCCATGAAGGTAGGAAACAGGGTAGTGATGATTGATGAGGAAGACTAATGATTCTAAAATTAACTTTATCACAAACATCTTGCTGTGTATCCACCTGCAATAGATGTACAGTGCAAAAATATTTACAAAATATTTGGAAAAAAACAGTTGAAAAAAATATCCCAAGCAGCCATATTAAGTATACAGTAGCATCACTGATCTAAATATCATGTCACTGTTCAAAATTTACATATTAAATTTTGTTTGCCTAATACTGTAGTAAATAATAATCCATTAAATAATTTTTAGCACAGTGAACTGGTGTAAAATCAACAATAACAAATGAAATATTATAAAATAGCTTATTTAACTCTTAAACTGTCCAAACGTAGATCTATGTTCACTCGTGTAGCGCTCAGAACGTAGATCTACGTTTTTTTTGCATTTAAAAGCGTGTAAAATAAAACGTAAATCTATGTTCGGAGCGCTGCGCGAGTGAACGTAGATCTACGTTTGGACAGTTTAAGGATTAAATGTAGTAATTATTTTCAAAATACACATTGCTGAATTTCTGCTTTGATTAAAAGACGACAGTCTTCGGATTTAAGAAGCCAGTGAGGCTTTGCACCTTTGCATCTATTCCTTTAATATAAATAAAATTCAATACTTATAAAGATTCACAGATATGTTTTTATTGTCAAACAATATTCTATAAAAATAAATAAATTAACTGATAGCAGCCACAGCCTTCTTAGCCCCTTCATCCAAGTCACTCGCAGACTGGATCGGACAGCCAGACTCGATTAAAATGCGTTTAGCTTCTTCTACGTTTGTTCCTGAAAAGAAGAATTAATTTTTAAATCATTTTTCATATTTAAGTATTGTATATCCAAGTGTAGGTTATTTCTTTATATGCCATATACAATACTGGGGGAGCGCTAAACCCATAAGATTATACAGCGCATGTGGGAGGGGGGGGATGGAAGGCATTCAAGGCTCAATTCAGGGAACTGGAGCAGAGATCCAATTCCCTAGATCAAGAGCCCCTCACCAGCATCAAGGAATCTCCCTTGAGAGGTTTCAAAATTTGAATATGGCAAGATGGCTTAATATAGAATATTCACATACTGTAATGCTACAGATGAGTATTTCAACATATTCTGTATTAACCGTTAAACGGTCCAAACGTATATATACGTTTTTTCAACATCTGAAAATATGTAAAAAAGAGTAGATCTTCTTTTGTAGCATTACGGATTTGAACGTCAATCTCTTTGGACCGTTTAAGGGTTAAAGTCGTAATGACACGATTGCAAACAAAGCATACCACGGGCGGGGACAGAACCCGCAATCAGAGAGTCTCAAAACTCCAGACCGTCGCATTAGCCACTGGACCAGCAAAATGGTATACAATACCGACAGGTTGGTAGGTAAGACACATAGGCAACAGTTAGGCAACTTTATTCCGAAACGTTTCGCCTACACAGTAGGCTTCTTCAGTCGAATACAGAAAGTAGGCAGGAACAGTAGAGAAGACGATGTAATCAGTCCATCACCCTTAAAGTCGTAGAATTTGAGGTTGTCAGTCCCTCGGCCTGGAGAAGTTCAGTTCCATAGTCAGGAACTAACTGAAGATCAAGCGACAGTGCGGAGACTTAAATACTGTCGGAAGGAGAGGTGTTGAGTAGTAGTAGTAGTGAGAATGTAGCCACTGAAATGTCAGGTCCCTCTCAGATCCAACAATTCTCACTTGAAAAGTTTGTCCAAGGTGTTTTCTGTATCAAGATGCCATGTGTTGCAGTGTCTGACAAGATGAACATCAAAATGGTATACAATACCGACAGGTTGGTAGGTAAGACACATAGGCAACAGTTAGGCAACTTTATTCCGAAATGTTTCGCCTACACAGTAGGCTTCTTCAGTCGAATACAGAAAGTAGGCAGGAACAGTAGAGAAGACGATGTAATCAGTCCATCACCCTTAAAGTCGTAGAATTTGAGGTTGTCAGTCCCTCGGCCTGGAGAAGTTCAGTTCCATAGTCAGGAACTAACTGAAGATCAAGCGACAGTGCGGAGACTTAAATACTGTCGGAAGGAGAGGTGTTGAGTAGTAGTAGTAGTGAGAATGTAGCCACTGAAATGTCAGGTCCCTCTCAGATCCAACAATTCTCACTTGAAAAGTTTGTCCAAGGTGTTTTCTGTATCAAGATGCCATGTGTTGCAGTGTCTGACAAGATGAACATCAAAATGGTATACAATACCGACAGGTTGGTAGGTAAGACACATAGGCAACAGTTAGGCAACTTTATTCCGAAACGTTTCGCCTACACAGTAGGCTTCTTCAGTCGAATACAGAAAGTAGGCAGGAACAGTAGAGAAGACGATGTAATCAGTCCATCACCCTTAAAGTCGTAGAATTTGAGGTTGTCAGTCCCTCGGCCTGGAGAAGTTCAGTTCCATAGTCAGGAACTAACTGAAGATCAAGCGACAGTGCGGAGACTTAAATACTGTCGGAAGGAGAGGTGTTGAGTAGTAGTAGTAGTGAGAATGTAGCCACTGAAATGTCAGGTCCCTCTCAGATCCAACAATTCTCACTTGAAAAGTTTGTCCAAGGTGTTTTCTGTATCAAGATGCCATGTGTTGCAGTGTCTGACAAGATGAACATCAAAATGGTATACAATACCAACAGGTTGGTAGGTAAGACACATAGGCAACAGTTAGGCAACTTTATTCCGAAACGTTTCGCCTACACAGTAGGCTTCTTCAGTCGAATACAGAAAGTAGGCAGGAACAGTAGAGAAGACGATGTAATCAGTCCATCACCCTTAAAGTCGTAGAATTTGAGGTTGTCAGTCCCTCGGCCTGGAGAAGTTCAGTTCCATAGTCAGGAACTAACTGAAGATCAAGCGACAGTGCGGAGACTTAAATACTGTCGGAAGGAGAGGTGTTGAGTAGTAGTAGTAGTGAGAATGTAGCCACTGAAATGTCAGGTCCCTCTCAGATCCAACAATTCTCACTTGAAAAGTTTGTCCAAGGTGTTTTCTGTATCAAGATGCCATGTGTTGCAGTGTCTGACAAGATGAACATCAAAATGGTATACAATACCGACAGGTTGGTAGGTAAGACACATAGGCAACAGTTAGGCAACTTTATTCCGAAACGTTTCGCCTACACAGTAGGCTTCTTCAGTCGAATACAGAAAGTAGGCAGGAACAGTAGAGAAGACGATGTAATCAGTCCATCACCCTTAAAGTCGTAGAATTTGAGGTTGTCAGTCCCTCGGCCTGGAGAAGTTCAGTTCCATAGTCAGGAACTAACTGAAGATCAAGCGACAGTGCGGAGACTTAAATACTGTCGGAAGGAGAGGTGTTGAGTAGTAGTAGTAGTGAGAATGTAGCCACTGAAATGTCAGGTCCCTCTCAGATCCAACAATTCTCACTTGAAAAGTTTGTCCAAGGTGTTTTCTGTATCAAGATGCCATGTGTTGCAGTGTCTGACAAGATGAACATCAAAATGGTATACAATACCGACAGGTTGGTAGGTAAGACACATAGGCAACAGTTAGGCAACTTTATTCCGAAACGTTTCGCCTACACAGTAGGCTTCTTCAGTCGAATACAGAAAGTAGGCAGGAACAGTAGAGAAGACGATGTAATCAGTCCACCACCCTTAAAGTCGTAGAATTTGAGGTTGTCAGTCCCTCGGCCTGGAGAAGTTCAGTTCCATAGTCAGGAACTAACTGAAGATCAAGCGACAGTGCGGAGACTTAAATACTGTCGGAAGGAGAGGTGTTGAGTAGTAGTAGTAGTGAGAATGTAGCCACTGAAATGTCAGGTCCCTCTCAGATCCAACAATTCTCACTTGAAAAGTTTGTCCAAGGTGTTTTCTGTATCAAGATGCCATGTGTTGCAGTGTCTGACAAGATGAACATCAAAATGGTATACAATACCGACAGGTTGGTAGGTAAGACACATAGGCAACAGTTAGGCAACTTTATTCCGAAACGTTTCGCCTACACAGTAGGCTTCTTCAGTCGAATACAGAAAGTAGGCAGGAACAGTAGAGAAGACGATGTAATCAGTCCATCACCCTTAAAGTCGTAGAATTTGAGGTTGTCAGTCCCTCGGCCTGGAGAAGTTCAGTTCCATAGTCAGGAACTAACTGAAGATCAAGCGACAGTGCGGAGACTTAAATACTGTCGGAAGGAGAGGTGTTGAGTAGTAGTAGTAGTGAGAATGTAGCCACTGAAATGTCAGGTCCCTCTCAGATCCAACAATTCTCACTTGAAAAGTTTGTCCAAGGTGTTTTCTGTATCAAGATGCCATGTGTTGCAGTGTCTGACCAGATGAACATCAAAATGGTATACAATACCGACAGGTTGGTAGGTAAGACACATAGGCAACAGTTAGGCAACTTTATTCCGAAACGTTTCGCCTACACAGTAGGCTTCTTCAGTCGAATACAGAAAGTAGGCAGGAACAGTAGAGAAGACGATGTAATCAGTCCATCACCCTTAAAGTGATAGAATTTGAGGTGTCAGTCCCTCGTCCTGGATTCGTATTCCATAGCAGGAACTACTGAAGATAAGCGAACGTGCGGAATTAAATACTGTCGGAAGAGAGTTTGGTACTACAGTAGTGAGAAGTAGCCACTGAAATGTCAGTCCCTCAGATCAACAATCTCACTTGAAAAGTTTGTCCAAGTCTGTTTCTTTATCAAGATGCCATGTTGCAGTGTCTGCAAGAAAGAACATAAAATGGTATATACCAATACCGACAGGTTGGTGTAAGACACATAGGCAACAGTTTAGGCAACTTATCCGAAACGTTCGCCTCACAGTAGGCTTCTTCAGTGAAATATCAGAAAGTAGCAGGAACATAGAGAAACATGTAAAGCCATCACCCTTAAAGGACTATTACATCGTCTTCTCTAACTGTTCCAGCCTACTTTCCATGTATTCGACTGAAGAAGCCCACTGTGTAGGCAAAAGTTTCGGAAATAAAGGTTGCCTCACTGGTTGCCTATGTGTCTTACCTACCAGCCACTGAGACACGTAGCCACAATAAATTCAATCACAGTGTTCTACTCCCCACCCTGTATGTTTTTGTTATATACTGTATTCTTTTACACACCAGCCATTTCCCACCAAGGCGGAGTGGCCCAAGAAAGAAAAAAGTTTCGTCACTCACTCCACCACTGTCTTACCAGAGGTGTGCTCATACTACATTTTGAAAACTGCAACGTGTCACATCTCGCACAGGAGGAAAACATTCAGTGAAAATATCTCTGCTTTTGAAAAAAATGATTACGGGATTTCTTATGTAATGTAGAAGGACGCAAGTGCAACTAATGTGACATTTTATTGTGGCAACGTTTTGCTCTCCAGGAACTTTATCAAGCCGTTACAAACAATATAAGGACACAGAGGGTATATATAGGCTTAGAGTGAGGTGTATTACTAGTGGTAGTAGTAATATAAGTTGTAGTAGTAATACAATATGGTAGAACAATCATCTTGCAGTGTCTCTGTATTGTTTATAACGGCTTGATAAAGCTCCTGGAGAGCGAAACGTTGCCACAATAAAATGTCACATTAGTTACACTTGTGTCCTTTTACTTTACATATTGTCGGTAATTCTACCAACATTAATACAAGATTTCTTTTGCTTATATAAACATGAGTACTATACTGACTGATTCCTACCTTCCAGTCTGACCACCAATGGGATCTTGATGTCTCTGTCCTTTAAGACTTTGACAAGACCGCTAGCAATAGTGGCTGTGTTGACAATACCACCGAATATGTTCACAAAAAGTGCTTTAACAGAATCATCTGAAAATAAAAAATTATATGTTGATATTGTGTATACAGTAATACCGTGCATAGTACTGTTTTGAGCAGTATGGGTTCTGATATAATATGGTTTATAAATTTAATAATTTTTTTTTTTTCAACAAGTTGGCCGTCTCCTACCGAGGCAGGGTGACCTAAAAAGAAAGAAAATCTCCAAAAAGAATATAAGTTTTATTTAACTGCACCATACAGCAATATTAGACTGCTGCTATGTCTCATGAAATCGTAATGACATGATTGCAAACAAACCATACCACGGGCGGGGATAGAACCTGCGATCAGAGAGTCTCTAGTTGGATGAATCTTATTATGGCTAATGTGACGGTCTGGAGTTTTGAGACTCTCTGATCGTGGGTTCTATCCCCGCCCATGGTATGGTTTGGTTTTTTCTGCTGCTATGTACCAGTCTAGTGCCATGTATTGCACTAGTGCTATGTACCAGACTAGTACAATGCTAACATCACTAACACTCCAGACTCTGGCAGTGAGTTGGGTTTGTTATGGCAGAAAAAGAATCATAATGGTCATCATAATGAGCATTAATGGTCATCATAACCAGGATATAGTCTCCAAAGACCATTAATGCTCTTATTAGGTGGTAATGCATCTGGTGACTTGAAATTAAAGCCTATGTTGGTGTACAAAACGGAAAATCCAAGAGCTCTTAAACCCTATTCAAAAAATGCTCCTCCTGTTATACGGCAGTCAAATAAGAAAGCCCGGGTAACCAGACATTTGTCTTAAGATTGGTTTGCAAATAATTTTTTCCTGCAGTTGAATATTATTGCAAAGATAGTGATGGATTTTAAAAGGTCATCCTACTTCTCTTTCTGACCTGAATGAAAATGTCAATGTAATTTTCCTGTCACCAAACATGACGTCATTATTGCAGCCAATGGATCAGGGTGTCATTACTACATTTAAGACTTATTTTTTGGAATGTACTTTTATGCAAGCCATGAAAGTAACAATGGGAGAAAATGACATGAGTTTAAACAAATTTTGGAAATACGTGTATTACAATATCCAAAATGCAATTGAGTCATTGCTTGAAGCAACTGCAAGCAACATGACAGCAGTTTAGAATTTTTTTTACTTTCTTGTTCCAATGATTCTGCTGGTTTTGAATTCCATATTGAAACTGTTTATGTCAACATTGTGTAGCTTTGGAAAGATCATCTAAGATTAGAAGCTTTGAACTGTGAAAATGTGCATCATTGCATTGATTCACATTCCAATGGCAATGATGATGCAACACCAATACTATTACCATCACCACTACAGTATTACAAACACAACTACAATACCAGCAACACTATGCATCTGTCTGGCACTATTATACACAATACAGGTCCCCAACACGTTCGTAAGTTGAAGACGTATTATAAAAGTAAAACTCCAGAAATGTTACCCGAGGTGAGGATCCTGACGGCATGTTCCACCTGGTGCTCCTGTACACCACCTCCCAGGTCCAGGAAGTTTGCAGGTGAACCTCCGTGTAATTTAATTATATCCATTGTAGCCATTGCCAAACCTGCTCCATTAACTGTTGTAAAAGATGAATGTATGATTAGTGATTTCTGTAATGCATTTACTAGTTTGCCATTCTTCTTATATATATATTTTTTTTAACAAGCTGGTTGTCTCCCACTAAGGCAAGGTGACCAAAAAAAAAATTTTTTACCATCATTCACACTATCACTGTCTTAACAGAGGTGCACAGATATGATAGTTTAGATGTTCCTCCAAACAGTAAATATTCCCTTTTCAGTTTTTTTTTTTTTTTACCTAAATGGTGATCTTCCATCAAGGTGACCCCTTCCCACCCCCCTCCCCCCAAAAAAAAGCTAACACATTCAACATCATTCATTTGACTGCTGTCTTCCCAGAGTATGCTGATGTTACAATTCCGATTATCCTTCCTTCCAACTGCAACATCTGCACCCGTTTGTCAAGAGTGTAAGCACTGCCCTTTCCACCTCCAAGACTCAAGCTCAGCTAACTGATTTCCCTGAATTTCTTCATAAATGTTACCTTACTCACACTCTAACAGCATATCCATTAAAAATCACTTGTCTCCACTCACTCCTATCTGTTCCTGGAGGACAAAAGGACCAGGGCAGACAGGGATAGGCTGTTTGAGGTGGAAAATGGGTACTCTGGTCTGGGGCACAGCTGAGGGTTAAAGACACATATGAGTCACATGGAATTCAGGAAGTGTTTCTTCAGCCTCATGGTGGTCAGGAAGGACAATGATTTCAACGAAGAAGTGGTGGAGGCAGTCTCCATACGATAGGGTCCATTAAGCTAGGAAATTGCGAATCTGGCAAGCAGCAAGTTGAGAGGTAGAGCCATGAGCTGCAACTCGATTCCTTCAACCACATGTGAGCACATATAGATGATTACCATACATTCCTCTCAAAGATATCTTCCCTGCCTTTTGTATTCATACCCACATAAAAGTGTTGGTACACTATACACTTATATATTCCCTATTTTCCCTCCATAAATACTCTTTTTTCCAACAATTCCTTTACACATCACCTCCCTTTTCCCTCTCGTCTATTCTATGGCTCACCTCATCTTTCGCAGATCCATTTGTTGACATGTCTGCTCCCAAATACCTTAATGCATTCACCTCTTCCATATTACCTCCCTTCAATCTGATAATCAATCACTCTTCAGACCTTGCTCTGTTTTATGTTCACAATGAATGTCCTACATTAACATACCTTCCCAAATTTGTCCATCAACCTTAGCAACTTGTCTTCAGAATCTCCCAAAAGAAGTGTATCATGAAGCAAGATCAACTGTGACAACTCCCACTTTGTATCAAATCAATTTTCATCTAAAACCTCTTCTCAACGTCTTAGTATTCAGTTCTTTACAATACTATCTATAAATTTTTTTTTTCAACAAGTCAGCTGTCTCCCACCGAGGCAGGGTGACCCAAAACGAAAGAAAATCCCCAAAAAGAAAATACTTTCATCATCATTCAACACTTTCACTTCACTCAACCATAATCAATGTTTTTGCAGAGGTGCTCAGATTCAACAGTTTAGAAGCATATGTAAAGATACGTAACATATCCCTCCAAACTATAAATATTGTATATTAAAGAACCATGGTGACATAACATATCCGTAAGTCCTACTGTCACTGGGAAGTAACCTCCATCCCTCTACATACCCTAGATGTAATTCTTAAGCAGGAGACTGAAAAAATGTGGATAACACACAACAAATAATTAAGTTGCTCTCTCTTATAATGAGTTTCCATTGGAAACTCTTCCTTCAGATCAAAAATAGTTATAATTATAAGCATAATTTTTAAAGTGGTGGAAGGGTAAGCCAGTGGAAGGCCTCAGTCAGATAACCAAAAGCTCCAGCTGTGGGTCATCATATGACTAAGACCAATGCCAGGAAACACTTGTCCTGTGTCCTGACAAATCTTACCTAACGTTCAGAGTTTCTTACTCAGTCTTTCTCAGACATTCCAATAAAACCTTTTAAGACTTTCTGAAGACTTCTACAAGCTAATTATTACATACATAAAGAGTTGTTCCTTGCTTACACTTGTTTCCTTACTGAGGAGCACCTCAGGGGGAATCTGAGGCAGTGTGCAGCAGAAAAGAATAAGCTGTACTATGGCCAAAATCTGGGTTACCAAACAGATCAATTCCTTATTTCATCTGTTTGTGGGAATCTGTAGATACTGTCTTCTGCATCTGTTAGTTAGGCTCGGAGCTCCATAGCAAAGTACGGTAACTTAAGCTTCATACCTCCGACCTCAATGGTTTATGCATTTTTTATATTGTTTGAATTAAGTAATGCCTCATGTAAGAGAACACAAATGAAAGAAGATCAACCAAGAGCATTATTATTATGGGGGAGCGCTAAACCCGGAGGATTATGCAGCACATGGGGGGGGGGATGGAAGGCATTCAGACTCAATTCAGGGAACCAGAGCACAGATCCAATTCTCTAGATCAAGAGCCCCTCACCAGCTTCAAGGAACCTCCCTTGAGGGGTCAACCAAGAGCAAACTTTAGTAATAATAAGAAAATAATTACATCTCGTAGAGTTGCATTCTAAAAGAATTTTGACGAGTGTTAAAATACACACGGGAGCGAGGGGCTAGTAACCCCTTCTCCTATGTAAATTACTAATTGTAAATCGAAGAAAAACTTAAGTTTCTTCTTTTTCGGGTTTCCGTACCTCGGCGGGAGACGACCATTGTGTTTAACAAAAAACAATCGTTTACATTATTAAAAAATAATAGTATATACTTAATTTACATATTAAATAAAAACATATCTATTAAAATAACTGTGTGTATGGTATTAAACTCAATAAATTAAGACTAATTCAAATCAAACAAATAATTGATCTTAATAAGAAAACATTAAAAGACGAAAATAATGTTGAATGTTATGCACCTAAACATCCAATGTTGCCATCCATGCCAATATAAGTGAGGTCGTGGCTGGCAGCATCCACTTCTCTGGGATCACTCTCGCTCGAGTCCTCCAATGCAAATATGTCCTTCTGTCTGTAACACAGTACTGTATTAAAATTTTAATGAAAAAAAATATGGAAGTGCAACTCTCTCTATCAAATTGAAAAGGTGATGAGTAGAGTGAATCAAGAAAAAAACTGATTAATAACAATAAGGGTTACCAGAAAAATAAAAGAATGTCTGAGCACTTATGTGCTTACACATATTTGCACAGAATTACAGCACATAAATGGGGGAAATGTAGATGAATGGTTCAGGGAACTGACAAGTTGATAAATTAGACACATGTGCAACTCTTGGGTATCTTTATTGAGGAAATGTTTCGCCACACAGTGACTTCATCAGTCCATACAAAGGAGAATGGTGAAGAACAGGAGGAGTTTGAGGTAATCCGTCCCTCAGCCTTGAGTTGATGTTTCCTCATTCAAGATACCCAAATGTTGCACATGTGTCTAATTTATCAATGGGGGAAGTGTTGCAGTCTTAGGGGTCGTACATCACTTAATCTGACTGCCACGGGAAGGGAAAAGAAGCTCCGATTCCTTGAATCAAAGATCCCTTCACCAACATCAAGGTACCTCCCTGAAGGAAGGTGCCTTGATGCTCAAAACAAGTATAAATGCATTAAAATACTAAGTACTATTGCTGCTTTACATTGCAATGGTATTTTCCATACTTTTAGTCATGAGTCAAAAGTGTTATCATGCCATCAATAACTGTCCAAAATACAATAAAAAACACAAGAGGATTAACTTCCCTATACAGTGGACCCCCGGTTTACGATGTTATTTCATTCCAGAAGTATGTTCAGGTGCCAGTACTGACCGAATTTGTTCCCATAAGGAATATTGTGAATTAGATTAGTCCATTTCAGACCCCCAAACATACACGAACAAACGCACTTACATAAATACACTTACATAATTGGTCGCATTGGGAGCTGATCGTAAAGCGGGGGTCCACAGTACTGTTAAATGGCTCACCTGAACTCGGCATTATCATCAAACTGAATCTTTGCATCAACTGCCACAACCTGACCTTGTGGAGTTTCAATCAGTGGATTAATCTCAATCTGAGTGGCATCCACACCAAGGAACATCTTCCAGATGCCTTTCACCTCTTTAGCACACTGAAAACAAAAACAAATTTGTTTATAATGGTAGGATAAGGTACAAAGAATACAAATTCTCAATACCATGGCTGCAACAAATCCCCAAAATACCACTTTGGAGAGGAACTTTATAATGGAAGTTACATCCATCCTGGACAGATCAAAACTTTGTAAAGCTCCTCTTGTAAGTGAATTTCAGGTCGAGAATAAGATATGGATGCCTTAAGTATCATTAACACATTGGCAGTCTCCCACTGAGGCAGGTGACCTGAAAAAGTTTTTCTTTTTTTTTCCACATTTAGCAATTTATATAAGAGAAGGGATTACTAGCCCCTATAAATGAAGATATAAATATTAATTACTGGTACAACATTTTTAAATATATTTAATACTTTTCCTTAACAGTTTATTTATATTTCAAGTCAACAGTTACATTGTTCATTTAATTTTAATTATTTAAGTTGAAGAAATGGCTCTGAGATTCTTCCATCTTGGGTAACTCACTTTTTCTCTCAGTGGTCCTTCAAATTTAAGAAAGTCTGCCACCTTAAGGGCCATGTCATCTGTGATTCCTTCATGTATATCAATGGGCTGCGTCAGTAAACGCTCGGGGGTCTTCTCTGCTACTTCCTCAATATCCATACCTCCGTCTGGGCTGGCAATCATTACAGGACCATTGTGTTCCCTTCAATTGGAAAGAAAAAATATTATGAGTACATTTCGAAAAAACAACAGTGTTGACGTGACTTATGAATCATAAAAACTGGATTGCAAACAAACCACAGAGCGAGTGGAACTTGAACTCATAGTGAGTGAATACTAACACCAGCCACTCAGCCACAATAAGTCTGAAGCTTTACTTGTCATAGTAATAGTAACACAATGGTACCCTGGGTTTCGAATTTCTTTCATTCCAGAATGCTGTTCGAGTGCCACTACCAAACGAATTTGTTCCCATATGGAATAATGTAAATTAGATTAGTCCATTTTAGACCCCCAAAAATACACTTACAAATGCACTTACACAAATACACTTACATAATTCTTTGAGTTGGGAGCAGTTCAAAACTCAGAGTACCACTGTACTTTATTTCAGCATGATGCAATGTTTGTACAAAGGAAGTTTTGAGACTCTCTGACCGCGGGTTCAATCCCGGCCGGGGTATGGTTTGTTTGCAATCGTGTCATTACGATTTCGTGAGTCATTTTGTACAAAGGAGAATGACATCTGGGTGTATATGCAGAAACCCCCTATATATGCAGAGCATTTTGGGCACACTTAAGACTAACTTAAGATTAATAAGGCAATAACAATACAGTGGACCCCCAGTTAACGATATTTTTTCATTCCAGAAGTATGTTCAGGTGCCAGTACTGACCGAATTTGTTCCCATAAGGAATATTGTGAAGTAGATTAGTCCATTTCAGACCCCCAAACATACACGTACAAATGCACTTACATAAATACACTTACATAACTGATCGCATTGGGAGGCGATCATTAAGCGGGGGTCCACTGTATGATAATTTTATACGTACAGTCACTTGGGTTCAAACGTCACCCAATTCGTGGTTTAATAGTGTCAAATCTGTTTACACAAAATTGTTATGTAATAACTGCATCCCCCCTCTTCAACAGAGCTACGATTAGGATGTCCCAATCCATATTTTTTAACATATCGGCCATCTCTCACTGAGAGATGGCCGATGTGAGAGCATACCTGGAGGGTGTTCCTGGGGCTGCAGCCCGGTCCATGACCAGGCTTTGAGGTGGATCAGCGTCTGATCAACCAGGCTGTCATTCATTCAATCAGTGTCTTGCCAGAAGCACGCAGATATCACAGTTCGGATGACCCTCTGAAGTGTAATATCCCCATCCTTCCTTCAGAAAGCAGGTACTGTACTTCCCACTTCCAGGACTCAAGTACAAACTGTACTGCTAACCCATAACTTTTTAAATTGCATTTATATTATTATTTATTAACACATCGGCCGATTCCTACCAAGGCAGGGTGGCCCGAAAAAGAAAAACTTTCACCATCATTCACTCCATCACTGTCTTGCCAGAAGGGTGTTTTACACTACAGTTTTTAAACTATTGACTCACGAAATCGTAATGACACGATTGCAAACAAACCATACCACCGGCGGGATTGAACCCGTGGTCAGAGAGTCTCAAAACTAACGCGACGGTCTGGAATTTTGAGACTCTCTGACCGCAGGTTCAATCCCGCCGGTGGTATGATTTTTTTAAACTATTGATTGTGGTACATAGACACCTCCTTTGCCATAATGCTTAAAAATACAAAATATATTGTACTTTACAGTACAGCTTCTACATCATTTTTTTGTAATTTAAAAATAGCAGTCATATGGTCTTCCTATTATATAAATTGGTATGTATGAGATAAAACACCTGAATTACTGGGAGCGCTTGAAGTTCCTGAACCTGTACTCCCTGGAATGCAGGAGGGAGAGATACATGATTATATACACCTGGAAAATCCTAGAGGGACTAGTACCGAACTTGCGCACGAAAATCACTCTCTATGAAAGCAAAAGACTCGGCAGACGATGCACCATCCCCCCAATGAAAAGCAGGGGTGTCACTAGCACGTTAAGAGACAACACAATAAGTGTCAGGGGTCCAAGACTGTTTAACTGCCTCCCAGCATACATAAGAGGGATTACCAATAGATCCCTGGGTGTCTTCAAGCTGGCACTGGACAAGCACCTAAAGTTGGTACCTGACCAGCCGGGCTGTGGCTCATACGTTGGTTTGCGTGCAGCCAGCAGTAACAGCCTGGTTAATCAGGACCTGATCCACCATGAGGCCTGGTCACAGACCAGGCCATGGGGGCGTTGACCCCCAGAACTCTCTCCAGGTAAACTCCAGGTATATTTATTTTTATCTCCCAAAGGGGACATCCTCATAACTATTCCTTATAAATAATATTGTTTAATTTTAGTATTTATTTTGCTGTATTTCTTAAAGTATCACTGATTTTATTAGTGGTTTTCAAGTGAGGACACCATACTATTTTTTTTTTATTATCACACTGCCCGATTCCCACCAAGGCAGGGTGACCCGAAAAAGAAAAACTTTTACCATCATTCACTCCATGGTGAAAGTTTTTCTTTTTCGGGCCACTCTGCCTTGGTGGGAATCGGCCAGTGTGATAATAATAATAAAAAAAAAATAATAATATGGTGTCCTCATATTATGGCTAAATATTCCAATTTGTCTAAAAATTTTCACTCAAATTGCAATAAAATACATTATTTATTTATTAATTTGAACATGATACAGAGAAGCACAAGGAATATTTTTTTTGCTATCCGAAGACAACACATTCTGCAGCTACCGTGCTTAACGTATTTTACAAAGCTACAGCTAAAAAAAATTACGGTTACCCGATACACCATTTAAGATGGACATTTTGTAGGAAGAACATTTAGAATCCCTTTTGTTATAGTTTATCTGTCTGCTTGTATAAATCCTAAACTCTTGAACTCCAGCATTTTTCCTTCTCTTTCCTTAGACTTACTTATTCACGGTAACTCGTTACTGAAATGTGAATCATCAGAAAAACTTGGTGAAAACGACTTGCCTGTCCATAAGAATGCAGAAGTAGGTTTCACGAAGAATGTCAACAGATTCAGCGACCATAACCTTGCTGACAAGAATGCCATCCTTAGGTGTTTGTTTAGTGATCAGCTTGTGTCCCACCATCTTCTCCACCAAGTAGGCAACCTCGTTACAGCTGAGGATAATATAATACGTAAGGTCATTCTTTTAACACACAGGTCATCTCCCACCAATGGAGGGTGACCTCAAAATAAATAAAGGAAAAAAACACTTTCCCACATCACTCACTCCATCACTGTCTTGCCAGAGGGATGGCAATACTACAGTTCAAAACTGCATTCCCACACTCATCCTGTAGTCTCCCAGAGCAGTCCCACACCCATCCTGTAGTCTCCCAGAGCAGTCCCACACCCATCCTGTAGTCTCCCAGAGCAGTCCCACACCCATCCTGTAGTCTCCCAGAGCAGTCCCACACCCATCCTGTACTCTCCCAGAGCAGTCCCACACCCATCCTGTACTCTCCCAGAGCAGTCCCACACCCATCCTGTAGTCTCCCAGAGCAGTCCCACACTCATCCTGTAGTCTCCCAGAGCAGTCCCACACCCATCCTGTAGTCTCCCAGAGCAGTCCCACACCCATCCTGTACTCTCCCAGAGCAGTCCCACACCCATCCTGTACTCTCCCAGAGCAGTCCCACACCCATCCTGTAGTCTCCCAGAGCAGTCCCACACTCATCCTGTAGTCTCCCAGAGCAGTCCCACACCCATCCTGTAGTCTCCCAGAGCAGTCCCACACCCATCCTGTAGTCTCCCAGAGCAGTCCCACACCCATCCTGTAGTCTCCCAGAGCAGTCCCACACCCATCCTGTAGTCTCCCAGAGCAGTCCCACACCCATCCTGTAGTCTCCCAGAGCAGTCCCACACCCATCCTGTACTCTCCCAGAGCAGTCCCACACCCATCCTGTACTCTCCCAGAGCAGTCCCACACCCATCCTGTAGTCTCCCAGAGCAGTCCCACACCCATCCTGTACTCTCCCAGAGCAGTCCCACACCCATCCTGTACTCTCCCAGAGCAGTCCCACACCCATCCTGTACTCTCCCAGAGCAGTCCCACACCCATCCTGTAGTCTCCCAGAGCAGTCCCACACCCATCCTGTACTCTCCCAGAGCAGTCCCACACCCATCCTGTACTCTCCCAGAGCAGTCCCACACCCATCCTGTACTCTCCCAGAGCAGTCCCACACCCATCCTGTACTCTCCCAGAGCAGTCCCATGCCCATCCTGTACTCTCCCAGAGCAGTCCCACACCCATCCTGTACTCTCCCAGAGCAGTCCCACGCCCATCCTGTAGTCTCCCAGAGCAGTCCCACGCCCATCCTGTAGTCTCCCAGAGCAGTCCCACACCCATCCTGTACTCTCCCAGAGCAGTCCCACACCCATCCTGTACTCTCCCAGAGCAGTCCCACACCCATCCTGTACTCTCCCAGAGCAGTCCCACACCCATCCTGTACTCTCCCAGAGCAGTCCCACACCCATCCTGTACTCTCCCAGAGCAGTCCCACACCCATCATGTACTCTCCCAGAGCAGTCCCACACCCATCATGTACTCTCCCAGAGCAGTCCCACACCCATCCTGTACTCTCCCAGAGCAGTCCCACACCCATCCTGTACTCTCCCAGAGCAGTCCCACACCCATCCTGTAGTCTCCCAGAGCAGTCCCACGCCCATCCTGTACTCTCCCAGAGCAGTCCCACACCCATCCTGTACTCTCCCAGAGCAGTCCCACACCCATCCTGTAGTCTCCCAGAGCAGTCCCACGCCCATCCTGTACTCTCCCAGAGCAGTCCCATGCCCATCCTGTACTCTCCCAGAGCAGTCCCACACCCATCCTGTACTCTCCCAGAGCAGTCCCACACCCATCCTGTACTCTCCCAGAGCAGTCCCACACCCATCCTGTACTCTCCCAGAGCAGTCCCACACCCATCCTGTACTCTCCCAGAGCAGTCCCACACCCATCATGTACTCTCTCAGAGCACTCTCACACCCATCTTGTACTCTCCCAGAGGAGTCACACACACATCCTCTACTCTCCCAGGGCAGTCCCACACCCATCTTGTACTCTCCCAGAGCAGTCCCACACCCACCCTGTACTCTCCTAGAGCAGTCCACACCCATCCTGTACTCTCCCAGAGCAGTCCCACACCCATCCTGTACTCTCTCAGAGCACTCTCACACCCATCTTGTACTCTCCCAGAGGAGTCACACACACATCCTCTACTCTCCCAGGGCAGTCCCACACCCATCTTGTACTCTCCCAGAGCAGTCCCACACCCATCCTGTACTCTCCCAGAGCAGTCCCACACCCATCCTGTATTCTACCAGAGCAGTCCCACACCTATTCTGTACTCTCCCTTAGCAGTCCACACCCATGCTGTACTCTCCTTACTCCTCCAGAGTGCAATCACTGCACTTCCCAACTCCAGGACACAAGTACAGCTAACTGAGTTTCCCGAGTCCCTTCACAAAATATTACCCTGCTCACACTCCAACAGCATGTCAAGTCCCAAAAACCCCTTTATCTCCACTCACTCCTAACACACTCACACAAGCCTGCTGTATGTCCAAGCCCCTTGCACACAAAACCTCCTTTACCCCGTCTCTCCATCCTTTCTTCTTATTATCATTAACTAATAATAATCCTAATAAGTATAACAATTGACTTGTATAATTTTCACAGGTGTAGTTACAATTATATGTATAATAACAAGATAAATACTCACTCTTTAGTAAGATGAACACCTCCTTGAAAGCCATTATCAAAATGACCCTTACCGCGGCCACCTGCTAAGATCTGGGCCTTCACTACGTACTCGGCCGCATCTGGAAGCAAGCAAACAGGATACGGGCGTTAATATTGACACAAATGCTTCACTCCAGTTTTTGCCACTACAGTGGAACCTCAAAAATCGAACTGCTCCCAACACAACCAATTATGTAAGTGTATTTTTGTAAGTGCTTTTATAAGTGTATTTTTGAGGGTCTGAAATGGACTAATCCAATTTACATTATTCCTGATGGGAATAAATTCATTCGGTAAAGGCACTCGAACAGCCTTCTGGACCGAAGAAAGTTCGATATTTGAGGTTTCACTGTAAAAGCAAAATGTTTTTCTAGCAAATTATTTGCTCAACTCTTAGAAATGGATAATTACATGTGCAGGACCCCAATGAAAATAAGTTACTTTAACCCTTTTGAGTTATCCTAGGTAATTTACACATGTTACTATGTATGATAATTTGTGTAACTAAACCACGGTACAGAGGGGGATTGAACTCACAGGAAGACAGTCATAAAACTCCAGGCAAGTGCGTTAGCCACTGGGCCAGTTTTACAACTCAATTGCCGAGTTCAATTCCCGCCCGCACTGTGGTTTGTTCCTAAGACCACGTTGGTAAATGAATTTGTCGGTAAGCAAGGAGCATACTATAATGGTAGTACAGCGGACCCCCGGTTAACGATATTTTTTCATTCCAGAAGTACAGTGGACCTCCGGTTAACGATATTTTTTCATTCCAGAAGTACAGTGGACCTCCGGTTAACGATATTTTTTCATTCCAGAAGTATGTTCAGGTGCCAGTACTGACCGAATTTGTTCCCATAAGGAATATTGTGAAGTAGATTAGTCCATTTCAGACCCCCAAACATACACGTACAAACGCACTTACATAAATACACTTACATAATTGGTCACATTGGGAGGTGATCGTTAAGCAGGGTCCACTGTACTTTTGTGTCAACCATCTTTGATACTGTTTTAAGGTCACCTTTGCACGCTTTACAGAAAGCCGCTTGTTATGCTAAGCATTTCCCACAAATCAGATCAGTTTTGTCCCAGGATGCGACCCACACCAGTCCACCAGCACCCAGGTACCTATTTTACACTGATGGGTGAACAGTGACAGCAGGTGTCTTATGGAAACACATCCCTAATGTTTTCCAGCCGTACCAGAGGAGATTAGAACTATGGACCTTAGTGTGTGAGCTGAGTGGCTAGTGATCAAGCTACGGGAGGAGCGTTACTCTGAAATACTCTGCACAACTAGGGACTTTCTGCATATATTACATTAAACCTAAGACCCAATCTAACTTTGTGATTTTTTAAATACACTACCTAACAGAATACTCCATACGACTGAATGTACAGCAATGAATGCAACCATATGACCTGTCTTTGTAATACTCATTTGTGCTTTATTGTTATCTGTTTACAATAATGTTAATGCTTAGTTAATCTTAAGTTAATTTTAAGCCAGCCCGTAATGCTATGCATACAAGTGGCTTTGGCATGCTGCTCTTACCTGTATTTTTTTGTACCTCTGTATGTTCAAATTACTAAATAAATAAATAAATAAATAAATAAATAAATGTCACCCATCCCTGTACAAACATTGTATCATGCTGAAATAAGGTTATTATTATTTACATTCACTTTAATAATGGCTATTTTATAAGCACCTCAATGTCAACAATAAATTCCGACTACAAGGATTATATTTTAATATTTGTCCTCACCAGGTATAGCTGACCCAAATATAATGGATGGGATACAAGGAGAATAGAAGCATCAGGGAAGAGAGAGGTGAAGGTTTATAAACTAAAAGAGGAGGCAGTTAGGGTAAGATATAAACAGCTGTTGGAGGATAGATGGGCTAATGAGAGCATAGGCAATGGGGTCGAAGAGGTATGGGGTAGGTTTAAAAATGTAGTGTTAGAGTGTTCAGCAGAAGTTTGTGGTTACAGGAAAGTGGGTGCAGGAGGGAAGAGGAGCGATTGGTGGAATGATGATGTAAAGAGAGTAGTAAGGGAGAAAAAGATAGCATATGAGAAGTTTTTACAAAGTAGAAGTGATGCAAGGAGGGAAGAGTATATGGAGAGGAAGACAGAGGTTAAGAGAGTGGTGAAGCAATGTAAAAAGAGAGCAAATTAGAGAGTGGATGAGATGTTATCAACAAATTTTGTTGAAAATAAGAAAAAGTTTTGGAGTGAGATTAACAAGTTAAGGAAGCCTAGAGAACAAATGGATTTGTCAGTTAAAAATAGGAGAGGAGAGTTATTAAATGGAGAGTTAGAGGTATTGGGAAGATGGAGGGAATATTTTGAGGAATTGTTAAATGTTGATGAAGATAGGGAAGCTGTGATTTTGTGTATAGGGCAAGGAGGAATAACATCTTGTAGGAGTGAGGAAGAGCCAGTTGTGAGTGTGGGGGAAGTTCGTGAGGCAGTAGGTAAAATGAAAGGGGTAAGGCAGCCGGGATTGATGGATAAAGATAGAAATGTTAAAAGCAGGTGGGGATATAGTTTTGGAGTGGTTGGTGCAATTATTTAATAAATGTATGGAAGAGGGTAAGGTACCTAGGGATTGGCAGAGAGCATGCATAGTTCCTTTGTATAAAGGCAAAGGGGACAAAAGAGAGTGCAAAAATTATAGGGGGATAAGTCTGTTGAGTATACCTGGTAAAGTGTATGGTAGAGTTATTATTGAAAGAATTAAGAGTAAGACGGAGAACAGGATAGCAGATGAACAAGGAGGCTTTAGGAAAGGTAGGGGGTGTGTGGACCAGGTGTTTACAGTGAAACATATAAGTGAACAGTATTTAGATAAGGCTAAAGAGGTCTTTGTGGCATTTATGGATTTGGAAAAGACATATGACAGGGTGGATAGGGGGGCAATGTGGCAGATGTTGCAGGTGTATGGTGTAGGAGGTAGGTTACTGAAAGCAGTGAAGAGTTTTTACGAGGATAGTGAGGCTCAAGTTAGAGTATGTAGGAAAGAGGGAAATTATTTCCCAGTAAAAGTAGGCCTTAGACAAGGATGTGTGATGTCACCGTGGTTGTTTAATATATTTATAGATGGGGATGTAAGAGAAGTAAATGCGAGGGTCTTGGCAAGAGGGGTGGAGTTAAAAGATAAAGAATCACACATAAAGTGGGAGTTGTCACAGCTGCTCTTTGCTGATGACACTGTGCTCTTGGGAGATTCTGAAGAGAAGTTGCAGAGATTGGTGGATGAATTTGGTAGGGTATGCAAAAGAAGAACATTAAAAGTGAATACAGGAAAGAGTAAGGTTATGAGGATAACAAAAAGATTAGGTGATGAAAGATTGGATATCAGATTGGAGGGAGAGGGTATGGAGGAGGTGAATGTATTCAGATATTTGGGAGTGGACGTGTCAGCGGATGGATCTATGAAAGATGAGGTGAATCATAGAATTGATGAGGGGAAAAGGGTGAGTGGTGCACTTAGGAGTCTGTGGAGACAAAGAACTTTGTCCTTGGAGGCAAAGAGGGGAATGTATGAGAGTATAGTTTTACCAATGCTCTTATATGGGTGTGAAGCATGGGTGATGAATGTTGCAGCGAGGAGAAGGCTGGAGGCAGTGGAGATGTCATGTCTGAGGGCAATGTGTGGTGTGAATATAATGCAGAGAATTCGTAGTTTGGAAGTTAGGAGGAGGTGCGGGATTACCAAAACTGTTGTCCAGAGGGCTGAGGAAGGGTTGTTGAGGTGGTTCGGACATGTAGAGAGAATGGAGCGAAACAGAATGACTTCAAGAGTGTATCAGTCTGTAGTGGAAGGAAGGCGGGTTAGGGGTCGGCCTAGGAAAGGTTGGAGGGAGGGGGTAAAGGTTTTGTGTGCGAGGGGCTTGGACTTCCAGCAGGCATGCATGAGCGTGTTTGATAGGAGTGAATGGAGACAAATGGTTTTTAATACTTGACGTGCTGTTGGAGTGTGAGCAAAGTAACATTTATGAAGGGGTTCAGGGAAACCGGCAGGCCGGACTTGAGTCCTGGAGATGGGAAGTACAGTGCCTGCACTCTGAAGGAGGGGTGTTAATGTTGCAGTTTAAAAACTGTAGTGTAAAGCACCCTTCTGGCAAGACAGTGATGGAGTGAATGATGGTGAAAGTTTTTCTTTTTCGGGCCACCCTGCCTTGGTGGGAATCGGCCAGTGTGTTAATAAGTTAATAAAAAAAAAAAAAGACAATTTTCAGATGTATACCTCTCGAGGCTTAAGGTAATATAGCTTATGGTAAAAATACATATATACTAAGCAGAAACTGCAGCAAATTGCCAGTTAGCTGGACTTGAGTCATGGAGGAGGCAAGTGCAGTGCCTGCACTTTGAAGGAGGGGCGAGGATGTCACTGTCCAGACGGTTATCCGATCTGTGACGCTGACACACTTCTGGCAAGACAGTGATTGAGTAAGTGATGCGAATGTACTTTTTTTTGTGTCACCCTGCCTTTGTGGAGTCACTTCTGGAGGTCACCACCTCCATGGCCTGGTCATAGACCAGGCCTCTTGGTTGCTGGCCTGATCAATCAAGTTGTTAGTGTCTGCCACCCACAGTCTAATGTATGCAACACATCCCAGTTACTCAGGAATGCTGTGATAAAAATATTTACATATGTAAATAAGAAATAATTACAAGACACTACTACTATTAAATACATTACCATGGTCTGAATCTAAACCATGGAACTGGAAGGGTTTGAACCCCATGGCAAATGAGTCATTAAACTCCAGGACATGGGTTCAAATCCCCCCCATTCCGTGGTTTGTCTGCAATATTTTTATTACGATTTAGTAAGTCGTGGTCTGAATTTGGCCGTGAGATTAATATCATTTATTGACAACTTACTAAGTGTCTTAGACGCCTCCGTAGCATTTTTATGCGAGTCAAGGATACGGAATTTCTGCACAGTAACGCCGTGATTGTCTAATAGGACCTTGCTCTGGTATTCCAACAAGTTGAGGCATCGTACAGGAACCTGCGAGAAGAAAGATAAAATGGAAGTAAGAAATGATTCAAAATATAATATTTATTTTAGTTAAAAATGAAATATTTGATGCAGAAAATTCTCGATGTGACAAACTAATAAGAGAGGGTTGTCTGAGTGTCCTTTAACCCTTCAACTGTCCAAACGTAGATCTATGTTCGGAGTGCTACGCACGTGAATGTAGATCTATGTTCGGAGTGCTACGCACGTGAACGTAGATTTATGTTCGGAGTGCTACGCACGTGAACGTAGAACTATGTTTGGAGTGCTAAGTACGTGAACGTAGATCTATGTTCGGAGTGCTATGCACGTGAACGTAGATCTATGTTCGGAGTGCTACGTATGTGAATGTAGATCTATGTTCGGAGTGCTACGCACATGAACACAGATCTATGTTCGGAGTGCTATGCACGAGAATGTACATCTATGTTTGGACAGTTTAAGGGTTAATGTGAATAACGTTAAAAATAATCCCTTTAGTTCTCAACTGTGGTTTAGAAAGACACGTAAGAAACCACTACGACATATTTATTAGAAAACGTTTCGGTCCTGTGACCTTGATCACTTCTGATCACTTGATCAAAAGTGATCAAGGCCCCAGGACCGAAACGTTTTCTAATAAATACGTGTCTTTCTAAATCAACTTGTCGGTATTTATTACCAAGGTTTATAACAGTTCTCAATTATAAACCCAAAAAACTACTAATAAACAAACGTTACAAATACATTGCAAAAAAACATTAAGAATAACGACATTACGAGTGAAAATTATACATTTGATTCTGTATTTATTAAAATCTAATATAAGGCATCATTTTGTGTATTTTTTTTATATTTTCAAAAATATTATTATACCAGAAGGAATAAAATCAAAAAATTTTTTTTCAATAATGGAATAAAATTTATCTTATTGTAACCTTCTTTGTCTCAATATATTTTTTCGCCTCTGTTATGAAAAAGCCTAATGTGTAGGCTTCTTCACAAGCGCTAAACCCACAGGGGTCACCGGCAAGACACGCCCACATTAAGGGGAAGCGCTAAACCCGTAGGATTATATAGCGCCTGGGGGAGGATGGAAAGTACTCAGATTTAATTCAGGGAACTGAAGCACCGATCTAATTTCCTAGATCAAGAGCCCCTGACCAGCATCAAGGAACCTCCCTTCAGCGGCCACCCACATTAAAAGGTCAAGACACCGGCTCCCTGGTCTTATCTCCCTCAAATACTCACCTCACACACATCAAATACACATATACACACAACCTAATTAATATTCAACTCAAATATTCCCTAAATATTAACGAGAATAATACTTTGGGCTGGAGAGTCGTCTGTAAAGTCCTAAATAAGGCGCCGCGGGAGATACTTCCTCTCAGAGCAGCGGCCATTGTTGTTGTTATGGTTGTTAAGGGTCACCAAAACTCCGTCTTATTTACCCCTTTGTCCTGGTGTCCAGGGTAACCCAGGGTAACCCAGGGTTAGTTACCCAGGGTAACCCAGGGTTAGTTACCCAGGGTAACCCAGGGTTAGTTACCCAGGGTAACCCAGGGTTAGTTACCCAGGGTAACCCAGGGTTAGTTGCCCAAGGTAACCCAGGGTTAGTTACCCAGGGTAACCCAGGGTTAGTTACCCAGGGTAACCCAGGGTTAGTTACCCAGGGTAACCCAGAGTTAGTTACCCATGGTAACCCAGGGTTAGTTACCCAGGGTAACCCAGGGTTAGTTACCCAGGGTAACCCAGGGTTAGTTACCCAGGGTAACCCAGGGTTAGTTACCCAGGGTAACCCAGGGTTAGTTACCCAGGGTAACCCAGGGTTAGTTACCCAGGGTAACTTGTCCCCCAGGATGCCACCCAAGCCTGGTCACAGATCGAGCCGCGGGGGCGTTGACCCCCGAAACCCTCTCCAGGTATATTCCAGGTATACTCCAGGTATACACCAGTCTAGTAACACCCAGGTACCTGTTTACTGATAGATGAACACTGACAGCAGGTCTAAAGAAACATGCCCAACGTTTCTACCTACCTGGCGTCTACCTGGAGGGTATTCCAGGGATCAACGTCCGTGCCGGGTATTGAACCACGGCCACTCAATGTGTGTGCGTGGCGAGAGAGTTGGAAACCGAACCACGGGACACCAGGTTTCCCCCAAAAAGAGAACCTGGAATAATAAGTTCCATGTAACTAAATGCCATCCATCTCTGAACGTTGTATCAAACTGAAAACATAATAGGTCAGGCGGACCTCCATTGCCTTCCTGGTCCAAGTACTGATCCTTGTGGAACCCCACTCGTCACATTCGTCCATTCTGCAAGGTGTCAGAATTAGGCACCTGGACACGCCAGTTGTTCCTAGAATCTGGTTCACGTTTCCTGCACAATCCTTCAAAGTTTGAATCCATTCGGACGAGAAGTTCTCGAGTTATTAGCGAAACAAAATAACAAAGGAGAAAGAGGGTGAAAATCAGCACCCAAATGGAAATAAGTCACTTTCTCTGACCATTTTTTGGGGGGTTTATTCTGGTGAGTAATCTACACATATGCCCGTATGTATGATAATGTATTTAACTGTATTTGTGTGGGCAGGTGGAAACATTTCGACACGTTTCCTTACACCTGTTGTCCTGTTCACCTAGCAGCAAATAGGTACCTGGGTGTTAGTCGACTGGTGTGGAAGGCATCCTGGGTGTTAGTGGACTGGTGTGGGTGGCATCCTGGGTGTTAGTGGACTGGTGTGGGAGGCATCCTGGGCTCTGGTGGCCTGGTGGTTAACGCTCTCGCTTCACACGGTGAGGGCACTAGAAGACAAAAAGAATGCAGATGTAATATATACAGACTTTGCAAAAGCCTTCGACAAGTGTGACCATGGCGTAATAGCGCACAAAATGCGTGCTAAAGGAATAACAGGAAAAGTCGGTCGATGGATCTATAATTTCCTCACTAACAGAACACAGAGAGTAGTCGTCAACAGAGTAAAGTCCGAGGCAGCTACGGTGAAAAGCTCTGTTCCACAAGGCACAGTACTCGCTCCCATCTTGTTCCTCATCCTTATATCCGACATAGACAAGGATGTCAGCCACAGCACCGTGTCTTCCTTTGCAGATGACACCCGAATCTGCATGACAGTGTCTTCCATTGCAGACACTGCAAAGCTCCAGGCAGACATCAACCAAATCTTTCAGTGGGCTGCAGAAAACAATATGAAGTTCAACGATGAGAAATTTCAATTACTCAGATATGGTAAACATGAGGAAATTAAATCTTCATCAGAGTACAAAACAAAATTCTGGCCACAAAATAGAGCGAAACACCCAACGTCAAAGACCTGGGAGTGATCATGTCGGAGGATCTCACCTTCAAGGACCATAACATTGTATCAATCGCATCTGCTAGAAAAATGACAGGATGGATAATGAGAACCTTCCAAAACTAGGGAGGCCAAGCCCATGATGACACTCTTCAGGTCACTTGTTCTATCTAGGCTGGAATATTGCTGCACACTAACAGCACCTTTCAAGGCAGGTGAAATTGCCGACCTAGAAAAATGTACAGAGAACTTTCACGCCGCGCATAACGGAGATAAAACACCTCAATTATTGGGAGCGCTTGAGGTTCCTAAACCTGTATTCCTGGAACGCAGGAGGGAGAGATACATGATTATATACACCTGGAAAATCTAGAGGGACTAGTACCGAACTTGCACACGAAAATCACCCACTACGAAAGCAAAAGACTTGGCAGACGATGCACCATCCCCCAATGAAAAGCAGGGGTGTCACTAGCACGTTAAGAGACCATACAATAAGTGTCAGGGGCCCGAGACTGTTCAACTGCCTCCCAGCACACATAAGGGGGATTACCAACAGACCCCTGGCAGTCTTCAAGCTGGCACTGGACAAGCACCTAAAGTCAGTTCCGGATCAGCCGGGCTGTGGCTCGTATGTTGGTTTGCGTGCAGCCAGCAGCAACAGCCTGGTTGATCAGGCTCTGATCCACCAGGAGGCCTGGTCTCAGACCGGGCCGCGGGGGCGTTGACCCCCGGAACTCTCTCCAGGTAAACTCCAGGAGGGCCTGGGTTCGATTCCCAGCCAGAGTAGAAACATTGGACGTGTTTCTTTCCACCTGTTGTCTATGTTCCCCATCAGTAAAATGGGTACCTGGGTGTTAGTCGACTGGTGTGGGTCGCATCCTGGGACACTGACCTAAGGAGGCCTGGTCACAGACCGGGCCGCGGGGGCGTTGACCCCCGGAACTCTCTCCAGGTAAACTCCAGGTAACTCCAGGTTAGTGGACTGGTGTGGGTCGCATCCTGGGTGTTAGTGGACTGGTGTGGGTCGCATCCTGGGTGTTAGTGGACTGGTGTGGGTCGCATCCTGGGTGTTAGTGGACTGGTGTGGGTCGCATCCTGATCAGGCTCTGATCCACCAGGAGGCCTGGTCACAGACCGGGCCGCGGGGGCGTTGACCCCCGGAACTCTTTCCAGGTAAACTCCAGGTAAACTGGTGTGGGTCGCATCCTGGGGGACAAGATTGAGGACCCCAATGGAAATAAGTTAGACAGTCCTCGATGACGCACTGACTTTCTTGAGTTATCCTGGGTGGCTAACCCTCCGGGGTTAAAAATCCGAACGAAATCTTATCTTATCTTATCTGAAGCCTCGGGACGAGCAAGACCAACACTCCACTTGGCTCGATACGGTGTATGCTGTCAGTGGCCCTACAACCCAACACAAGAAGAACACACTCCACTAAAGCCGACACAGCTTCAGTTGTTGTTGACTCAGTCAATACTACTTTTATTAATGGTGGTTTTGGTGGTTGTTATTGAGGTTGTGGTTGTTATTTAGGTTGTCAGTGTTATTATTGTTGTGGTCGTTCTTGCTGTTATTGATAAGAGCCACAATGGTGTATTAGAGAGCTCTCCACAGCGGTACAAATCTAGTCTTCCTCTGAGTGATCTGGAAGAAACACGTGATCTAAGGACAAAAATATAACATTATCTATACTGATAAATGTCTTAACCCTGACACTGGGAGGGCAGGAAGTGCTCTTATCATAAACCAATCTGATAATAAGCTCCGCAGCCTGGTAGGCAAAGCCCTTGTTTCACGCGTTGAGGGTCCGGGTTTGATTCCCGGCAAGGGTTTACCTGGAGTTTGCCTGGGGAGAGAGTTCCGGGGGTCAACGCCCCCGCGGCCCGGTCTGTGACCAGGCCTCATGGTGGATCAGGGTCTGATCAACCAGGCTGTTACTGTTGGCTGCACGCAAACCAACGTACGAGCCACAGCCCGGCTGGTCAGGTACCGACTTTAGGTGCTTGTCCAGTGCCAGCTTGAAGACTGCCAGGGGTCTGTTGGTAATCCCCCTTATGTATGCTGGGAGGCAGTTGAACAGTCTTGGGCCCCTGACACTTATTGTATTGTCCTGGTCATTTACAAAGTGGGTTCATGGGTGTTAGTCGACTGGTGTGGGTCGCATCCTGGGGATAATGGAAGTAACATAGTTCTCACGGATTGAAAATCCGATCAAAAACCTTAAGGCTACATAGTGCCCTTGACCACGTTAAGAGACCATACAATAAGTGTCAGGGGCCCGAGACTGTTCAACTGCCTCCCAGCACACATAAGGGGGATTACCAACAGACCCCTGGCAGTCTTCAAGCTGGCACTGGACAAGCACCTAAAGTCGGTACCTGACCACCCGGGCTGTGGCTCGTACGTTGGTTTGCGTGCAGCCAGCAGTAACAGCCTGGTTGATCAGGCTCTGATCCAAGGAGGCCTGGTCACAGACCGGGCCGCCGGGGCGTTGACCCCCGGAACTCTCTCCAGGTAAACTCCAGGTACCCTTTCTCGGCATATTTATATCACAGGAGGAGAGGAAGAATTTTTGAATGGGTAAGCCAGTGGAAGGCCTCGGTCAGATGATCAAAAGCTCCAGCTGTGACTGGGCCGCAGGGGTGTTGAACCCCGGAACTCTTTCCAGGTAAACTCCAGATAATAACTAAAACCAGCATCAGGAAACACTTGCCCTGTTTCCTGACAAACCTGACCTAACTTACGGAAGAATATATGCATGAATAATTAAAAATAGTGTATAAAAGAATTATTAATACACTATACTAAAGAAAAACTTGATTGGGAATGTTGTGAGTACTTAAAAAGTGAAAAAAAAAGAGAATGAGGCATGTGAAGGTCGTCAGACATGACAGTAGAGATAATGTGTATATTGTAAGAGATAAGTGGAACTATTTACTTTTCACGGTGACTGACTGGGAGATATGATCATATAACACGGTAAACCCATCCTCTGTGATGGACACAACAAGGGGACACAGCAAGGGTACACAGCAAGGGGACACAGCAACAAGGAGACACAACAAGGGGACACAGCAAGGGGACACAACAAGGGGACACAGCAACAAGGAGACACAACAAGGG